AAAGCGTTAACTTTGTCAGGGTTGTTTGGAGTAGCTTCCTTTTACATTTACGAACCTTAAAATATCAGCTTGGGGGGGGGAATAGTCGAAGGATATGCATACCCAACAGGAAACTAAAAAGTAATATAACTGGAGAGTGATTTTTGTGTTACTGTTGGAAACAGATGGTAATGACTGGACAATTTGTGAACGTAAATGTATTCCGCTTATGAGTATGTATTGTTAAAGTTAAGCTATATGTCAGACAATCATTTGTTTTCATGTTGCATCTCATCATTGAAAGATAACTATTATAGAATAAGCAATAAATCTTATACTTCTTTCTTTGATCAAGGTTTCAAATAAAACTCGGACGGAAAACTTTTCCATCAATGCGCTACGCGCATTGATGAATTTGATATGGGTCAAATATGCAAATATTATTCTAAAGCATATTAATCTTGATTTGTTCATGTATCTATAAAATTTTGCCAAAGTATGTTAAAAAGATTGCTCGTTTGTGTGTGTTTTTGTTTAACGTCCTTTCCAGAATTTTTCACTCATATTGAGATGCCACAACTTGCCAGTGGAGGATTGCAAACTCGAAATTTACGGCTTTTGATCAGTGAGGGATCTTTTTCGTGTAAAGTTTGTTCTAGAAACATAATGTGAAACTTACATTGTTTGTAAATTCTCAGCATATAATAAAAGATCTGTGAGTAATATATATGCACGTAGTCTCCAAGTTCCAAAATATTGAAGAAAAAATGTGTACATTTTGCATTTTGAGCACTTTCCTTTAGATATTCTTCCACCACAAAATAGTTCTTAATAAATTTTATTTCTTGTAATATTTGTGAGCAGTTTCTTTTAATTGAATGCTGACAACTAGCATTGTGCATTTTCGAATAGTTCAATAAAAATAAATTACAATCATTAAATTTAAATAAAGAGGTTCGTAAATTTTTTTCGACAAGCTGACGAGCGACCGGTCGAGGATGATGCTGCATGACACCTGATCGCACCTCTGTTTTCAGAGGTCCGTTGGTTATAATAAAAAATGTATAATATATATGGATTTTTGGGCATCATAACTGTTTGTAATATTTACATTTTATCTTAAAATGTTCAACAAAATATACATTAGACATCTAAAGCATTTGTAAGTCTTTCTACCTTTGTATAATTTATTGGGCAAGTACTATTTAAAAAAAGTATTAACACATGTGAAACATTTCAAATCCTATCTTTTAAAATGCATATGATTATAAAAATGATATAGTATTGATGTTGGTTCTTCAAATTAGCACAAGGTAGATTGGTATTTCATGTAGTATAGGGATAGGGAGTTTTGCCGCGATTTTTTTCACCTTTTAAAGAACACGACAAATATTACAATCTTATTATACAAAATTTTTAATTTTATTTATGAAAATATTTTATATAAATCATTTACGGTACCAATTTTGATGCACCAGATGCACATTATGATGCCTTCTTATTCTATAGACCATAGATAAATTCTAAATTTATGATGTCTAGACAATTGAGAAATTGTCGACTCGATTTATCCCAATGAACAATAAATAGGAGTCTGTTTTATTTATTGGATATTTGGATTTTTGCAAACTAACAACCAAACTGAATAAGGATATGATGTGCTGACTTCACCTCTTCAATCGTCCTTATTAATGTATTAATATTCCACAATCACCTGCATATGGTTTTTATGTCTCCCAAGTGAAGTAAGGAGATAACGAACAGTATTCAAGCTCAAAGTCCTTTGAAACAATACAAATCGGGAGCAGAGCAAAGTCGGACCTCCAAAAATATCAAAAATATCAAAATATCAAAGATGGGATCAGGTGCCATGGAGGAGTGAACATCCCATGCCAACCGGTCACATCCGCCGTGTGCTCCTTGTCATGATCGTAAAATAAAGGAAAAAAATCCGTCGACGATTCAATGTTTAAATAATGGCCTAACAATTAGTATGAAAAACGTCAGTCAGCATATGACTTAATGATAGATTGTATTTGCTGACAAGGTATTTGTATCGACCATAGAACTTACGAAATGATGACTTTAAATGAAACTGTTGATATTCTTGTTTCCTTGTTTCATTAACTCGTTTGTAAATAACATATTTCGTTTTAGAAACTGTTCATACGTAGAGCATGCTCTTGAGTATCGAATAAACTGAGAGATCAGACTCTGTGGTATCTTTTTTTTTTTTTGTTCATATTTTATTTTTATTTCTTAATAAAAACAAACATAGAAATATATATATAACATATTTAGAACAAGTTACATTACGAACTTAAGATAATATGACAATATTGACTTAATACAATGTAAAGCAATTGAAACATGCATTCGAAAATATTTTAGGCAAAATCTTTAAAAAGCCTGTAGTCTACAAGAGAGTTCAAATTTTTCAGAATGGAAGCATAGAAAATTATTGAAGATTTAACATGATTAAAAATGTTGTAGCTAGTTTCATCCAAGGAATGTAGTCGACAGTTCATCTTATATTTGTAAATTCTATAGGCAACATAAGAGATGAATGTATTGAGTGATACAATTTTTCTATTACGCTCAGAACTAAATCCAATCATTACATGTTTCCATTTGATATCTATTTTCAGATAAGAACTTAATCTGTTCCATATTTCAATAACATTTTTACATTCAAAAATGAGATGTTTTGAAGTTTCGTTCACATGGCATAATTTGCATTGGCTGTTCGTTTCTTTTTTCCATTTACTGGGATAGAAATTATTACAGAGAATATTGTTTAAAAGTTTATAGTTGAATTCTGTAAGTTGTCTATCGGGTATGTCGTATAATTTACATTGATATATATTTTTCCATTCTACAGGTTCAACACTGAACTCTTTGTTTAAAACTGTTTGATAGCACGGTTTACAAAATTTCTTGTGTACAAAATTTTCATAGAAAAATCTGCATCTTTGATCTAAGACATTAACATATCCTGTGTAGAATAGAAAATAATTTCTGTAACGTATGTTCACAAACTTACAATTTGAAAAATCATACTTTCGTAGTAAAGGTTTGAAAACAGAAGTAAGAATTTTATATTCACACAACCACAACCAGTTTGACTTGTTTTTTATACACTTCGAAAAATCTGACAATGATTTGAAATTACCATCATCGTCAAACAAATCCTTAACATGTAAAATCCCACTGACTATCCAATTTTTAAAAAATAATGTATTTCCTCTATAAACAAAGTTACAATTGTTCCATATCGGCTGTTGAAGAATATTATCGGAAGAGATTTTGTTCAAAGAATAAGGCTTACAATCATTGAAGCAACATAACATTTGTTGATAGAAAATAGGTAGTTTCTCTAGTTTCTCTATATTTTCTGTGGTATCTTTTATTTCACGCTCGCTGGGATATATTTTGTCGACATATGAATTGAAATGACTATTGTTAATTGACAGTACATCGTCAATATATCTAAATGTCGAGTTGAAGGCCACAGGAAGAGATTTCTTTTTCTCATGTATACGATTTTGAAAAAATTCTGCTTTCTATGAATACAAAAATAGGTGTGCTAAATCATTCGATGTGCAAGAGCATATTCTGAGTATGATTGTTCTTTTAACCTAGGCAAGCTACTGACAAATAAGTATAGTGAGGGATTTAACAACCACATTGAAGCATTTAGCGAATTCTATGGTCGTTAAGATGATTTTTTTTTTAAATTCAACCGATCGGTTTTTGTCTGATATGCTTTAAACTGATCAATACATAGGACCGTTCACGGTTGCTCAGTCGATAGAGCGCTTGCTCCGTGATCGGGAGGTCGTGAGTTCGAATCTCGGCCGCGACCGACCTAAGTCGATAAAAAATGGGTAGCAACTGTTCCTTCGCCATGCGCTCGGCACTTTGAAGTGAAAGTTGTGGATCCTTCGGATGAAACCTTAAAAACCGAGGCCCCGTGTTATGTCAGGCTTTGGCACGATAAAGAACCCTCACTGCTCAATGGCCCTGAGTGCCGAGTAAAGGTCAAAATTTGAAGCCCTTCACCGTTATATGTTGACGTCTCTATATGAATGAAAAATTCTCGAATGGGACGTAAAACAACATACAATTAATCAATCAATACATAGGGCTCACGGCGGGTGTGACCGGTCGAAAGAGGATGATTACTCCTCCTAGGCAGCTGATCCAACCTCAGATGTTTCCAAGGGTCGGTAATTTTACTCAATTTACTACTCGTATTCTTTACTGGATTTGTGATCACTGCTCGTTATCTTCACCTATAATACCATTATACACCATTAAACATCTGTCACACACAGTATAAATGTTCTTACATCTGCGGAAAGAGTAATATTAATATAGGTTATTGATATTTTGCAGTGTCCCTGCATTATATTTGAATGTGCCATAAAACTCGAAACGCCTTATGAATAAAAATTATTAATTCTAATCTATTACTTGCTTATCTGAGAAGGATCGCTCTCGTTTCCTTAACGCAATTCACGTCAAAACGGCGGACAGGCCAAGGTCGTTAAAAGTTTTGAATTATAAGATTCTAGGTAGAACAACATGTTTGAAACTAAAAGAGAGAATAATTTGATACGTAATCGGATTTTCTTGTGTTAGTTTTCCAAGTATTCACAAATATCTGCTTTATATACTGGTTCAGATGGTTCAGTTATCATTGTTATAGAATAGTTATGAATTCTGGTGTTCTCAATTATCCTCATTATCATCTCAAATACAAACTGGATATGTAATTTTACTGTGTATATATTGTTGTTACTGGATCACAATGATCCAATACTTAAAGAAACTTAACTCGGGTAAGTGTTGTGGCTCACAGACCATCTGACTCTACTATATTTGATAGTTTCAGATTAGCTTTGGTGTTTTTTTCCTTTCAACCTATATTAAAGCAATTAGAAAATGTTTACTATCGCACGGATATGCACTATATATACATAATAATAAGACGTCAATGAACTGCCCCAAACTTTTTATTAGTGGTGATGGACGATCGAGTTCAATGTGTCTCGGCCATATCTAGCATTCCACCCGTCCCGGAACTCATTTGGGGACACATATCCATTGTGATCTGTAAGAAAATAATAATCAAAGAATCTGTTGCTATGACCTCCTTCGCCATAAAAAGGAAAAACAGACAACTGAAAATCGTTGTATAGTTGTTCATTGCTGCCTTTCAAATATTGAGTCGTCTTGAAATACAGATAACTGAACACTGAGCATTGTAATGACCCTGACCTCAGTATGTATCATTTTGTGTTGTGTAAGTTGTAATTTTGGGTTTCTTTTTTATCCGTTTTCTCATCAGAACAAAATATTCTAAAGACATCCCCTACATACATTAATGTGTGATAAACTTGCTATATAGACTCATGTTGATATATTGCTCTGTAAAACACTAATGGTTTAAAAGCATAATTATTTAGTGTACATTCTAAGAAACATGAACCTAAGGAAGCTCATTCAGAACCTATCAAAAATCACAAATTCTAAACAGAAGTACGGGTACATACAATAAACAACTTTCAAATAAGAAAAATGAGAGGAGAAATGGTTTTCCTTACCTTTGTCGAATCCAGCAAATATATGATCTAGATCTGTCTCTGTAACAAACATGTCTCTGTCCACATCGGTCTCTAAAAATATCAGCAGTCCATCTCTCGTATCCCGGAAGTCGCAATATCCATTCCTCCAGCCGTTCACAACCTCGTCACGTGACAGCTGGCCGTCAGCTTGTACACAAGAAGATTAATAAATACTATGGAATCATTTTAATTCGTAGCTGGGGGGGGGGGGGTTCAATGTTCGTGGGCAAGCAAAATTTTACTTGTTCCGGAGGACGCAATTTCGTGGGTTACTCGTGTATACGATAGATTCAATGAATCAATATGTTTACAAAATAAATGTTCGTGGGGATGTAAACTTGTGGGTAAGGTGACACACGAAATCCTTGAACATTGATCCCCCATGAACAAGAATGATCCCACAGTAATAGATAAGAATGAAGAATTTGATTTTATTTTGACAAATTAAATGCTTGAACTGTTTAAAACCTGGAAACTCTGTATCAAATGTTGGCAAAAAAATATTTTTAAATTCTGCTTTGTCTAGGCCATGCTGGTGGTCAGCGTCATACTGGTCAAACAATGCTGGACAGTGTTTGTCTCCATCGTCATCCCCAAAGACGCAATGGATCAACCTAAACATCGCAAAACAATAGCAGTAAAAAGATATTGGTGGGTATGTAGAAAAAAACAACAACTGCAACATCAATAATAGTGACGAAAAGCTGAGCATTTCAAAATATACAGATGACAGGAACGAGATATTTAATAATCAAGACTGAACACTTTTCGATATTCAGACATGAATCGTTTAATTTTTAGAAATAAACATTAAAGTACTATGCGTTAATTTAAAATGTTCAGGTTATTAAACTGTAATTGTATGTGTCATTTTTACTCATCTGTTAATTCAACGATAACTGTTTATTTATCAGGTGCTTCTGAAAGGAAAAAATTGAAACTTACAATAAAATTGACAACAAACGGAACGTTTGTCCCATCTTTCAGGTCTGTATAACATAGATAAGAACGTAATCCCAGAGAGATTGTAAAAGTCGGTCAAATATGTAATTCAAATTATTTAACTCTAGGATAGACAAGGTCAATTCGTTCACTTGATTTTCCACCAGCGATGTACATACATTACTAGTAACTCTCATAAGAGTTTATTGTAACAGATGTACATGTGGGAGCTGTATAATAATAATGAACCATGTTATATAGTAGCCTTTTTGGAACTCTTTTTAAAGTTCTCAACTATTGGTAACAAACAATTATTAATCAAAGTGAACACTTGAATGAAATGAAATATTGAGATAACAAACTCTATTCAAGTTCAAAATCCATTAAACAATATTAATCTGGAGCAGAGCAAACACGGACCCCTAAAAACAATAAAGATGGGATCAGGTGCCATGGAGGAGCGAGCATCCCCTGCCGATCAATCACACCCGCCGTGTGCTCCTTGTCATGATCGGGAAATAACGAAAAAATCCGTCGAAAAATCAGTGTGTAAATAATGGCCTAACAATTAATATGAAAAATGTCAGTCAGCATAATTATGACTTAATGATAAATTGTATTTGCTGACAAGGTGATTGTAACGATCATTTAAATAAATTACGAAATGATGACTTTAAACGAGACTGTTGATATTCTTGTTTCATCAACTTGTTTGTCTGAAGAAAAAGTTGGTAGACAAAGGAACAAAGAGATTTTCTAAAAGCAACTGTTTAACAAAATGCTAAACACTAGGTATACTTTTCTGGATACATCGAATTTCTCTTTCATTCTGATTTCAGCTATATTACTGGGAAATGGATTATGGACAGACATGTAAAGTTATTGAATGTTTGAAAAAAGATCTTACTAAAACTATCAGCAGTGCTCATACTTAGTAAATATAGATGCCTTCAATAAAAAAGAATTCAATTTGAAAAATATTTTATTCATGTATTTAACTACTACTGCTTCCTAGAGACAAATCCTATTGTCTCTCGTATTCTATAGTTGTCAATGTATTTGTTTTCAACAATTTTGATCCTTAAGATCGACAGACAATGCAAATCACCAAACATTTTTTTTCAATTAAGTGATTTTGAGGACATCGACAAATTGCCTTGTATTATTGCTGGCTTAGTTCAATCGTAGAGAAATGATTGATCTTCTCTCAATTTGTCATCTCTATCATTACTAAGAAGAAAATGTCCCTCCTCCTGATTCAAATCTTCTTTCTGTAATGCCGATTGGAATGTTACAGAATCTTGGATTCAGTGGTTGTCTTATTAGCGTCAGTTTATGTTTAGTTAGTTGATCAAAAGCTTTTATTCAACAAAATGCATATGTTGGTTATTTTTTCTACGCTTACAGGTAGGCAGTAAATTTTGTACATAAAAGTATTCTAAACTATTCAGGAATAAAATGAAATATGTGTACCAAGGAAGGTCGCATATTTTAAAAAAAGCTGTACAGCGATAGTTCTGTAGGTTTCAGTAGTTTTGTTTCTACAGAAGATTTTCATATTCATTGGTTCTTATTATTGTATTAATAGCAGATGAACTCACGGGTAATTTTGTCAGTCCGCCATACAGACAGGGATGCATATATGCATCGTTTGAAATGATAGCTTTTGTAAAATATTGGAGTTACTGACTGTGTGACCTTCAGCGTAAATTTGTCTTTTCAAAACAAAATTTTTAAAATGTCCAAATACGCAACATCCTTCCACTAGATGTTATTGTTCTACTTATTTTGAATTGTCTTTTGACCTACATTATTTAAAAAAAGCGTCTCGTCGTAAATATGTTGCTTGTTAATAAACCCTCCATACAGTGTTAAATGAAGCCTTGACCTCGTGACCTTTTACATGAACCTTACTCGGACTTAATTATATGTTTAAATATATCGTAACTGCATTGCATCTTTGATATTCAGTATGTTAGTAGAGCTTTCAATAGGTACATGTATTAGGATTACTGACTTTGTGACTTTGAACCTGACCTTTTCCTTACTATAGCAATTTGTCCGCCATATTCTTTTATTCATCGTTATCTGAGGACCCCTATATAAGCCGTTCATATAGTCACTGTTCAGTGTAATCAGTGGTCACCTGTGTACAGGGACGTATGCTACACAGCTATTAGCTATTGTAAAATACTTGTTAGCGACAAAATAATTGTGTACTTCTTCCACGACAGGAAAGAAAGATACCAAAGAAACTTACCACAGCTGCACAGGTCAGTGCAGTATACAAATAAACACAAATACACGTAAACTGCAATAAAATGTAAACAAATGTTATGTAAGATAACCATCACGAACATGTGTTGTCCATTCCACGCCGGTACCCATGACAGTAAAGCAGTTAGGTGTAACGAACGCGAAGGGTATACCCCAGTGCTGATATCAGAGATAGTAAAAACTAAAATGGCGTATGCCTATTTACGAGTCTTGTTCAGCTTTAAAAATGAAATATGGAGAAAACAAACAAACAATACAAATCGAGAGCAAAACAAATACGGACCTCTAAAAACATCAGAGGTGGGATCAGGTGCCATGGAAGAGTAAGTATCTCCCTATCTACCAGTCACACCTGCTGTGTGCTCATTGTCATGATCGGGAAAACGGAACAAATCCGTAGACAAGTCAGTGCGTAAATAATGGCCTAACAATTAGTATGAAAAACCTCAGTCAGCATTCGAACTAATGATAGACTGTGTTTGCTGACAAGGTCATTGTATCGACCCAGACCTTGCTAAACGAGACTGTTAAGATTCGTGTTTCATCAACTTGTTTGTCAATAGCTATAGCTTGCCACGTTTTAGATATTGTTCGTACGTAAAGCATGCTCTTGGGTATCGAATCAACAGGGTGATATAAACCCGATATGCAGGTGATAAGGGTATATTGCTACATAAGTGAGAGAAAATGACGATAGAAAGTTGAAGACATCAGGTTTATCATAAAGTTTTGTTGTTAGGTTACCACTAGCGTCTTTTTCTAGTAAATCATCCAAATATGAAGCAGATGTGTCAGACTCTTGACGCTTTACCTTTTATTTCAAGTTCACTGGGATATATCCTGTCGACATATGAATGGAAGTAAAAATGAATTGATAACATCTAAATGTCGAATTAAAGGCCATAGCAAGTGTCTTCTTCTTCTTATGTAGGAACGTTTGAAAGAATTATGCTTCATATGAATACAAAAACAGGTCTGATAATGACGGGGCGCAATTAGGACCCTTGGGAATTCCGACAGATTCTTTAAAGACCTGTTGTCCAAAAACTACAAAGATATTGTCAATCAGAAACTCAAACATCCTTTTAATATCAACTTTGGAGTACTTGTGTGTACAATCAAAATGTTTTCTAACAAAATAATTTTGCAAATGACCGATGACAAGGTAATTAAATTTAAGAGTTCCATTTTTATTGAATAGGCAGCTGTCTATGATGTCAAATAGCCTGGACTTTAATTTATCGTGGGGAATGACTGTATTAAAGTGTTGAAATTTTATTTTGATGTTATTGATTTTTGTAAAAAATTTTGATTTCAAATTTTCTAAAAGTTCTTTGGACCCCCATGGTGAAAATGAAAATTTCGAAACCTTATTGCTTTTACAGGACACCACCAATTATCTTCCAAAAGATGATTAGGCTACTGCCTAAAATGTAAGATTTCTGGGAACCAGGGCGTTTTTGTATTTAAAAAATCATCATTTTCGACCCCCATTCTACCCCTAGGGTGAAAATGAAAATCTCGAAATCTTATTGCACATCTAAAGGGCACAACCAATCATCTTCCAAAAGTAGATTAGGTTACTGCGAAGAATGTAAGAGGAGTTCTGGGAACCAGGTTTTTGTAGAAAAAAGTTCCTCGTTTTTCCCCTGAGGTAATATTTAAAATCTAAACTTTATTGCACAACTACAGGACACCACCTATCATATTCCAAAAGATTAATTGGTTACTGCTTAAAATAAAAGAGGAGTTTGAGGAAGAAGAAAGTGTGACAGACGAACGGACCAGGGTTGCAACAATATACGCTTCTTTAGAAAGTGTGGGTATAAAAATGACAACAATATCAAAAGATTGGCATAAACAATGTATTCCCCTCTTATCTGGACATGAAATAAAGATCTAATATCAGTTTTCACAATAGTAATTTGCAATTTTAATCCTTTGTCAGTTCACAGATATCCGTAAATGCAGTCTAATAAGCTTGATATATTTCATATAATGAAGAATGCTGGTAAAATTAATGGCATAATATCTTATGTATTCCATTTTTATAATAAATTCAGGAATCATTGCCGGCAAAGTCTCAAAACCCCTGTACGTATGGCCACTGGGAGACAAATCTGGTTTGCTAGAGGTTCTTTCAAATGGACCAAGTCTGGTGAGCAATGGCAATCAATGTTTCAAATTCGGTGAGAATGTCAAGAGTATTCCATATCAAGCTATAGGGATAGGAGATCCTTCAAATCCTCATCTATCGGTTGTGTTAGATGAACCAAATTCATTCCGGGATCTTGGAATTTCTATGTACGTCAAACCCGACGGTAAACCCAAAGGAACCCTTCTCCAATACAAATCGGAATCGGCAGAGAAAATAAGAATTGTTTTCGACCCTTATGATGGTTTTGCAGTGATTTCCTTCCGGGATGAATACGATATCCCAGCAGGCATTGTTGTGGCTGATAATTTAGCACCAGCAGATAGTTGGACTCACATTTTTATCCAGCGTTCGTATAAAACAGGACGAATTACTGTTTACGCCAATGACCGGAAAGTAGTGGACGAAGATGACGAATTCCAAGACGAAATTTCACTTCCAGCTTCTGGGCACCTCCGGATTGGAAACACAGAACCACCAGACTCTGATGGAGACCAGCAGTTTAAGGGTGTTGTGTCCTGTCTCCAGATATTTACAGAAAACGTGAAACCGGTTGATGTCAAATCTGTTTCTAATTTCTGTCTTCCGGATGAGTGGAATCTGGGATCGCAAGGTAACAATGCTTAATTGATTGAAATTAATTAAAAGTAAAATTAAAAATCAAGATTTTTTATATATTACTCGTCAATTACCTTTCTAACTGTTATTCAAAGAAAATTTTACTGAATAACCGATGACAGGATATGAAAGCGTCGAAATTGAATTTTTTTCTTTTATTAGCATTATCTCCCGTAAGAAAAAGTTACAACAGACAACTCTTCTCTAGAGTTATGCAATGACTGTCCAAGTTAATATGATATACAAAGCCAATGTTTTACTTTCCATATAAAGGGAATACTAGTAGTCAATAAACAATAATTGGAATCTGTCTAGATCTTTACGATTTGTATATTTTATTCTAATCTAGTACTTATTTCCTTGTATAACCATCATTAACTCATCCAACAGACGAACGTCACAGGTAACAATTATGTCCGTTTAGAGGGGGAAAGGTGACTCAGTTCTTTAGCCTTTGCAAATTTTTGGTCTGCTTCTTTTGAAGAGCATTTTTAAAATCAACTATCTTAAATGTATGATTGTCTCAATGTTTGGACAACAAATGTATTTGCATTAAAACATACAATTTATATAGATTGAGAAAAATTAAAAATTGAGCAAAAAGAAAATAACAGTGGCTTTTTCTGAAGTAATTCAATAAAACTGAATTCATATATATGTAAAAAGTAAATACTCACACTCATATAAAACTATTTCTTTTCAAAACATTGTTGAGGTGTATGTTTTTGATTTTTTTGGGGGGTTAATGCTCAAAATGATTGTATGTTTGTAGTATATTTTGGTCCTGAAGAGAAGGCGACAGGAACTCGGTGTAAAACAGATCCACCTGAATCCACATCAACTATACCGTCACCAAATCAACCGCTGACGATGACCCACCTTGTAAACGAGCGGAAGTGGGAACAGGTTCGAACACGATTTCATTGGAAAAACAGCAAGAAAGATAACGTATACTTCCGTTTGTACGATCATAATATAGCACCAGTTCCGGTAACTGCCAATATTAGCAAAGTTAACACTGCTGATCTGAAAACGTGTGCCCGACTGTGTCTGCGCGTGTATGGATGTGTGTCATTTGCTTTCACGTCAACAGGAAGTGATATCAGAAAATGTTCACTTTTTGACATAATGCCAACAAAATTTGAGACAAAACAAGGTGTTAAGTTTTTCACTGTCAGTACATAACTTTCCTAGTAAGTTGTACATGAGAGGTTACTCTCATAAAGCTTGCAGCTATTATTTGTAGATTGGTTATGTCTCTTGCAGCTTAATTTTTTTTTTTCTGAATAAATATTGGTAGATAACAAACAGATTATAATTGTCCATTTTTTGTACAACAGAACTTATTTATCCAAAGTTTTTGTTTCGTCTTAGAAGACTTGCGTTAGGGGAAATGAGAAATATAAGAAATACAATCGATGTTATTTACTATGGAAAATATATTTTCGAAAAGAAAAGACGAGTACAAATTGCATTTTACGAGATAATATTCAATAGTTTGGTTATCAAGGACAAATCAATGACTTTGATATCTTATTACCAAATTTATCATATTTTAGGAACAAGTAATGCAACTTCAAGACAAAGAATTTTATTTTATTGCTTTATAACCTTGACATAGCTTGATAATCAACTCACATAATGATGCTGATATTCTTTAATCAGTCCATACAGTGTTTAACCCATGACACAGAACAATAAGGTGACGGATTATCTACGAAGTAACTCTCTGATATAACCCTCACAATAATGTAGAAAGAAGAAGAAAAAAGTAAACAAAGAGGCAATTCCAAATATGTCATTCGCTCCCAACACGCCGCGTTCATATCTTCAAGGAAACGAGAATCACAATCGTGGCGAGATTTGTTGAAGTCATAGCCCTATAGAGGATACAAACAAATGATTAACTTTCGAAATCATACAACTGTTTATCATATGTACCTCTATCTTCTCTTTTTTGTAAATCGGAAATTAAAAGGTAAAGGTCTTTTCAATCTGCTTTTTCCCCATTATATAAATGGTTTTTGCCAAATTTCATTCCTTTCAAGAAGAAATTTTTACAATATTCATGCAAAAGATGACATTTATTAACATGCATGTGCGAAAAGATATTCACTTCCGTGTTTATACGTTTTAAACTTCTTGAAAGTTATCCCCCTTGTTTCAAATTGAAAGTCTGACTTTGCAGGTCAGGAAGTCTGCTTTTTTTTATATAATTATATGGCTAGTTCAAATTTAAGTCTGTTTTGCTTTACGTCTCGATATACAAATGTCATTTTAGAAGTATCTTCACATCAAGCACGCGTTTGCATATCAATCGGAACTTTTACATTTTTCAATAACTCATTCTTTGATACTCCTTTACGCAATTATATGCTTAAGTTTTCGTTCTTTCCAAAGAAGGATTCGATCCTTGACCGCCGTACAGTTCACTATTTCGTTAGTGAATTTGACCTTTGAGATACGACCTTGAGTGAAGATCATTAAGGAGGGAATTCTAAATGAAATGTTCGAAGTATATCTATGGCATGTCAAACGTTGCAATATTCGATCTTTTGCATTTGCATTGTATAATTTTCCATTTGCATTGTATAATTTTTATTTGTATTGTATAATTTTCTATTTGTATTGTATAATTTTTCATTTGTATTGTATAATTTTTATTTGTATTCTATAATTTTCTATTTGTATTCTATAATTTTCATTTGTATTGTATAATTTTTATTTGTATTGTATAATTTTCCATTTGCATTGTATAATTTCTTATTTGTATTGTAAATTTTCTTATTTGTATGCGATAATTTTTCATTTGTATTGTATCCGCGGACTGTTTATTTGTTTCGTTACGAAGGATTTCATTGGTCAAGTTTCAGCCTGTATCGGGTTGAAGATGTTCCGGATGCTCAAAGCAAACTGGGCTCATATGTATTTGCTTGCTTGATTGATTGATTATTGTTTAACGCCGAGTCGGCAATATTTCAGCCATATTTCGGCGGCATATGTATTTGCGTGCATGTTAGACGGTCATTGGATTCTAAAAAGGGAGCGCTGGTAGATGGCAAATAAATAATCTGTCCTTAGGAATGCTGACTGAGAAAATAAATAAATTGACCATGAGTGGTGGTAACTACCCCAACCCCCAAAAAACTGAGATTTCGGGTTTGGGCGGATTTTCTTCTTTTTGTTTTTCTCCTTGTCTCTGGTCATATTGGAAATAAATATTCTCTCCTGCGAGAGAATGAAAATAAATAATCGGATTCGACACCCCCCGAGAATCAAATGGTCGTCCCTTAGCATGCACCGGAAATAGAGGAGCCGAGTTTGTGTTTGTAGAGAGTGCGCGATCGGAATTGTGGGAAGGGTACCAGACTAAGTTTGTGATGGGCACCTGAGACCTTTATACAGACTAAATTTTATGACCAATGACATCCTTCGTAACGAAATAAATAAACAATCCTCGGATACAATACAAATGAAAAATTATCGCATACAAATAAGAAATTATACAATACAAATAAGAAATTATACAATGCAAATGGAAAATATAGAATACAAATGAAAAATTATACAATACAAATGATTTTTTTTACAACACAAATGGAAAATATAGAATACAAATAAACATTATACAATCCAAATGGAAAATTATAAAATCCAAATGGAAAATTATAGAATACAAATAAAAATTATATAATACAAATTGAAAATTATACAATACAAATGAAAAATTATACAATACAAATGAAAAATTATACAATACAAATAAAAATTATACAATACAAATGGAAAGTTATACAATACAAATGGAAAAGATCGAATATTGCAACGTTTGACATGCCATATATATCTGCTTAAATGTTATTAAATTATGTGTAGACATTAGGATTCAGAAGACCCTATTTTTCTTTCAGTACAAATGAGTGCAAATAACGGGAACTTAATCTCACGGCTTGATCCTCAAATGCTATGTATCAAGTAGAGATGAAATAGGTCCACAGAATATTGTAATTTTGCAGCTTGTACTTGCAGACTAAGTAGACCTCTCAAACGACCTTTATAAATTCTAACACTGACCAAGAAAATTAAGATCTTGTGAAACTATTAAATTGAATAAATATGTAATATCTTACACAAAAATAGCAGATGTCGTGGATTTTACAGGCGTTCTCAAAATGGTCCGTGTACCAAATGTCAAGGTCAAGAGGCATTGTACAGCCATTAACATAAGTAGAGTTGTTAGTGTCGCAGAGGTCAGCTGCTGTAAGATGTCCTGTCACCTGAATCACAGCTAGCGATAGCACAAAGCACTGCAACATTACCAGTCCGGACACTGTTGTAAACAAAGATATGATAATGCAGAGATGGCCAATACCAATAATAAGTAAATAACCCTCCCCCCCCCCCACACACACACAGAGAGAGAGAGAGAGAGAGAGAGAGAGAGAGAGAGAGAGAGAGAGAGAGAGAGAGAGAGTTACCATTAATTCACAACCAGGTATTTCCATAACTATCAGGCCATAAATTGAAATATTTCCAAATTAGAATTCTCAATCTTTTAAGGAAGCATATGTATTGTCAGAAATGCATCTTTACATCAGGTCCTTCCGTTTCCATTTGTTTTCCTTATATTTATTTGTTGTTATCTACAGCTTATCTACTTAAGTGAAAGTCAGTCATCATCCTGTGTTGTAAAGCGGACTCAGAGCCCATGGCTGTACAACTTGCCGGAAGGAAATCTCTATGCAATCACTTTGCAATATTAGTATATTTTATGAACAGGCATATAACATTGTAATGCAATGACACTGCTATGTATCTCACAACAAAATATGTATACATTTTAGATGATCGGAACACAAAATTAAATTAAGACATAATACAAATTCTTACAATTATGATAAAAGTAAAAGATTTTCATATTTATATATATATCACAAAAATATGCATTTTTAAATCATACCACACAGCTCTGATTTCAGAGATAGAATATTTTAGCAGTTATGCAGTTAACTATAGAGTATATCTTCATAGTATAGTTATCTATAGTACATTTTTTTGTTTTAGCAATCAAGCTGAAATTGAATAGATATATTCCTGAGGCATGAACTGATTTTCAGCCCTTCTTTACATGTAAAACCGATTTGTCCATTTTCTATTTATCGTATGTTATTAAGGAGGCTGGGGGTCAACAAATTAACCATCAGATATAACTTAATTTTTTAGATATGATATCTTAAGCTGTCAACTATCATTTGGCAAACAAAAATTTCATACATTTTAGTTTTAAAATTTTATCATTTTTGTATATCTTTATATGGAGCTCTTCTTCTGAAGGAGATCAATACAGTCCGAAAATGGCCACAACCACCCAGCCCTCTTAAGTTTCAATGAAACTTTGAACAGCACATTGAGAAACCATTGAGATGGATCATTTTCCTGTCTTTAGCTATGTTTTACATGGATGGCTCATTGTTTTTTAAATTCTTTTTTTTTTATATCTGTCAGGCCCGTACAGTAGGAAGCACCCCCCCCCCCCCGTAACCCAATCCCGGTTCTTACGGGCCTGCCTGTGCCAAAACATAGCACTAATTTGAAAATTTCTAGTATGGATCGTACTCTCCTCTGACTTCAATTAACTTCAGCCCATTCAACACAAGACATTATTAGTCCAAAACAATGTTGTGTCATAAATTACATTTAATACAAAAATCAAATTAAATCAAATAAAAAAAAAACAAATCAATATCGAGATATCTTTTGTTGTTTCAATACATTGTATAACATTTACATGTATTCAATAAAACAGTCTCCCAATACATGTATATGCCTGTTACTCAGCATTTGAAAATTAAAAAATAAGTGGCATCTTTAAGGGACTTATCGCATGATCTTTCAAAAATCGTAATTTTAAATTGAAAAATAACATCTACAACCTTGTTTGTTAATATACTGAATAAAATAAACGTTGTTGAAAGCATATTTTAAGAAATATTGAGAGTTGAAATTCAAATACGGCAATATGCATATTTCAGTCGGATTTCGGCGAAATACATGTACAGCTCTGACGTCATAGGCAACAATTCAGTCATGGCTGTAGGAACCGGGGGGGGGGGGCACGGGGGGGGGCGTGCCCCCCCAATAATTTTGCCGATATATAGATTACTATAAAAAACATAGATACTATATGCCTGTGCCCCCTCAATAAAAACGTCTGATGACCTTTTTTTTTTTTTTTTTTTGCTTGTCAAGAAATTTTTGGTAGTTGATAGTGCCCTCTCAACTGAAAATGTATGGCTGTGCCCCCCCCCCCCCCCCCAAAAAAAAAAATGAAATTGCTTCCTACGGGCCTGTCAGTGATAGAGAGATGAGAATATGCACACTATTTACGGAGTTATCAACTACAAATGCAGCTTAATTACGAAAAATGCTTAAAAAATGAATCCTTAGCATGCTTTTTAATTACTGTAGTAACATTAATTAGTTCTAAGGTATAAGGCTTTTGAGATATTTTCGTTTTTTATTCGAAACATGTAGAATATGTACAGCTCCGATTACCAGCTGATTACGGCAATGTTTCGTGATCGGAAAATTATTTTTCAAGACTGCCATCCTTTACAAAACATAAGTAAATTAATATTATGCTAAAAACGAAGAATAATAAAGTTATAAAATATTAAGTTTGTGAATCAAATAAGTTAATACATGTTATAAGATGACAAATCAAATTAACGTAGGTCGCGGGTTTGCAGGCCATTTAAAAGTGTCCGAAAACATACCATGAAAATTAGTTATATGAGTCCTCTACCTTCGTTTTATATTCTCTGAAAATTTTATAAAATTCGTCTGCATCGTTTTTATGTAATTTAATCCCAAACACGCCATTGTTGTTATGACATTTTCGGCGTTATTCTATTGAATTATATAAGAAAAACGTCGTTTTCGGCTCGTTTTGAGGCAAGATTTTGTTTCAAAAAATGTCAGTAACTTTTAAATGGTGCAGACGAAATTTTTTCCCCTTTGATATTTTAACAAAGAATTGATTTGAAATAAATCAGTGTGAAAAAATTAATATGTCTTCGAGTTAGTTTTCGCGTAATTTAAATGTGGATAATTGCTTTTATATCGCAAAATGTAACATTTTTACAACGTCATAAAATATCGCGACGTCATGCTTGACGTCGTGAATATCTATCCGGTTTTCAGTGCAGAAAAATAAGATTAAATAATTTTTATGAAAAAGAAATTCACTTCTATCTGCTTTCAAGTGACCCGTGAATCGTATCATAATAATTCAATAACAATGAAATGATTACTAGACATGTTTCTCTTCGGATTAGGGTTTTTGTACGTCTTATATTAGTGAAAATTCTCGCAAGGGACGTGAAACAACAATTAAATGAATCAATCCTTTAGTTTCTCCCAATTTACTTTCTTTATGTGATGTTTTCTTACCATTTCTTTTCTTTTCATTTGCTTTTTTTTTCGTAGATTAGACGTATCCTTACATTTGGCTACATGTATTTTTCTTTTCCAGCGTGCTGGCGAAAAACGATATCCTCTAATTCAAGTAATTCAAGTATATAAAATGTTTTTATTTAGACCATTCAGCGAGGCGCTCAAATCAACGAATTTCTGCCAAATATCGCCCCGGCTAAATACAATATATTTTCAGTATTATATATTTAAACAAAATATTTATTTTTACACACCACATTTTCAGAGGGGTAAATGGGGTAAATGGGACGAAAATTTAAAAATTAATTTTATCTGACGTAATCAACAGCCGGTTTTTTTTTAGAACATTGATTCTACTTGTTGGACATGGAAAGCAAAGTAGCAAATAAAATCTGTAGGTAACACCATTGCTGTTGCTTAGGGGACTATCATTTCATTCGGGGGGGGGGGGGCTTACAGATTTTGGAAATAATTATCTGTCAGCGACTGGGCAAGAAAAATGAATAAACTGCCCATGGCTAGTTCTGTTTTCCTCTCTTTTTTTTGCTGCTTGTCAGACTTTTTTCACTGAAGAAGAAATAGATAATCTGTCCTTGTTTTTTTTTTAAGTAAATAATCTGTCCTTCACCGACATGAAAATAAACAATCTGTCTCGGTAAAATTTGCCACCCCCTCTCCTTCAGAATCAAATCCTAACAGGAGGTCAGTGTCGCTAACAAATTGTCTTATGTTTCATCGTACCTTAGCAGTATTTAATTCATGATAAACTTGTAGATCTAAATATTTTAAAAATATCCTTTTTAAAAATAAAGTTAATCTTTTGATGTATCAGGTGTATTTTCGATTTTTTTAAATAATGGCTTCTTTATTAATAAATCAAACTGTTAATTCAAATACGATCATAGGAAAAGAAGTCAGTTGAACCTTGTGTCCATATCATTTCGCGATACCAAGTGAAAACAAATCAATCGCAATTTCTCGGGCCTTTCCGACAAGCCGAAAAACAACCACTTGTTTTTACAAGCTTGCAGGAAAGGCCCGAGAAGATTCGATTGATAACAAATATAATTAAACGTTTTATAATACTTCCAGTGTCGATCATTCGAATCGTAGTAAGCCCTCTTCACTAAATTACCAATTCCAACAAAAGTTATATCCAAGTATTGTATCGACTATACAAATCGTAAAAAGCCTTCATTATTTGTGATAAGTTGTTGCTTAAATAATATAACACTAAACTACCAATTCCAAGAAAAGTTATAGCTAAATAATGATATACTGAAGAATTTAATAAAACAAAAATCATCGCAGATTTCTTTTTCATTGTGACGTCATAATCAAATGTGCACAAGAAAGTCGCCCAAATCATATAAATTGCGTACCCAATTTTAACGACGTCAGCAAACCCGCGACCTACGTTAAATTGTGATGGCGAGTTTTTCCGTCTTCGCCGCGTCTCCTCCATTTCCTTACTTAAAGGAGGAGTCACAAAAGGCTCAACAAGGGTGAAATTTACAAAAAGGCAAACATGGGGATTTACAATTATACAGAAAAGGTAAAATGAATACGAAATTTAGAATAGAATAAAATAGAATTAAATTGCAACTTTCATTGTGCAGTTGTAAATAAGCAGAACAAAATTCAATAAAGAAATCTTTTGAATGATTTCAGTATTTGCTAAAAAAGCCTATATTTCATGTTATGTTCTTCTTGATATTTAGCAAACCAGCTGAATTATTTTGCTTTAACCTTTATATTCAGTGCTTATATTTCCTGTATAAAATTAAAAAATTGTCATGTCATTTATTGTTTGAAGTAAAGATAAGCAATAAAAATCAAGTCTCTTATAACCACGATTTAAAGTAAATGTGTTTTAAAACAAATGAGATTCTATAAAAAATTTGAAATATTTTCAAGGAACCAACAGCAAATTGAATTTGAGTTACTATGCTTAAACTACTTATAAATTCTAAAACTTCATGAACATCCTTCTAAACAATAATACTAAGCAGGAAGCAGTCAATCTTCTACCAACTGAAGGGAAATATTAACAACAGCGAAGATAGGTCATTCCTCAGCAGTACGGTTTACATGTTCGAGAAGATGTGTTACATGTAGTCAAATGTGGATATTTAGAATCTCTTTTTTTTTTTTTAATTTTGAAATCAAATTTTTTTTTCCAAAATAAGCTAAATTAAACATACATATTTACACACTGTGGTACTTGATCTCACCTCTGATGTTTTCAGAAGTCTGTGTTTGCACTTCTCACAATTTGAATTGTTTAATTGAACTTTTTACCTTAATTTCTGTTCGTTTTCTTAGCATTTTTTGCAGTCATTCCCAAATATTTATTAATGAAGCTATTATGAAGCTATTTTATATTGCCTTTTCAATAAAATGTCACTCGAAAATATACATAGCTTGTGATAAGACATACAGAAAATTGTTTTGTAAATTCTATTTTGTTCCTTTGTACAAATAATGAAAAAAGTAAAAACAACGAACAGTAATCGATCTGAAAAAAAAAAAAATTACAGATAATACAATACTGGGTCTGAAACATCAATTTATTTTTGTTTCTTTTTCTAGAGACATGCCGTGATGGTGAAACAAAACCAATCTTTATGATAAATAGGACAACTTAAAATTTTTATTCTTTCTAAATACATATTTTATGATAAGCTATATATGTATTTGTTCAAAAAGGATGACTGCACTTAACGCCTGTTTTTGGGTCTTTTTCGGTTGCTTCTATTGCTTTTATATCTAAACCTTATCTCACTTTTGTATGTTTATGAAAGAATACTGTGAATTTGGAATCACATTTAAATCTTAAAATGATTTCAGACTGTGATACAATAAAATGATTCAATGTTTTTTGTCCTCACTGCTTTCCAAATATAGTGAATTTACACTTACCTGCCCTTGATTGAACATTAGATATGCATGAGAGGTGGAGCTTACATTGTATGAATGGCTCTAAAATTAGACTATATGAATAACAATGTCATGTTTGGAAAAGCGAACGTGATCACTCTTCCCAATCTCCCTCTCCATTCTGTATGGCACAAAGGTTTCAAAACGAAATTAACAATAAGAGCACGTCAATGTAATTAAAGCAGATTTTATATCAATGCCAGATGACTTAAATTGTTCGAATACAATGTCCTAGTTAGCACAAAACATGCTTCCTTACAAGTCACGTGACGGAATTTAGTATTCACAAAGTTACCTGAGGTAAGAAATCACGTGGTGAATTATAATATTCAACATGTCACAATCCTTGGTTACAACACAGAGAGCGAATGTAAGAAGAAGCAGTTTTTTCTCTTTTTAACCATGAGCGCATGTTTGTCTATTAATCTCCTTTTGACACATTATTATTTATGCAAATATACAACTACTGTTAAACGTAGAACAATAGACAAACATGCGCTAACTATGTATAAAGTCAGTAAAAAAGTTATCGAACGGAGATTCAAGAAATTGTGATGACCCCTACCTTTGAAAACAGATTCGAACTTCGTAAATACACACTTTTATTAAACGTAATTACATAAAGTTGTAGACTGGATGTTGACCATTCTTGCAATGAAAAGAAAAATGCTTGTTTTGGAAGTTTATTTTGTCGCAAATCCCGCATGTCCTTAAGTGCAGTCATCCTTTAATAGAAAGACACAATACATTGCAGACGTGGAAAATTGATTAAAGCATTCTAATAAAGACCAATAACACTACTTTGTAAAACTAGATTACAAAAAAGTTTCAGTATAACAAATATGAAGCTGATTGTCAAATTATAGGACTCTTATCACAAAAAAAAATCAGTTTTTTTCACGAATCCATTCCTTCTGATAAGTTTTACAATGTGGGGAAAAAATTAAAATAATAAATGAGTGCCGATTTAATTCGCGTTACATATGTGAAAATTGAATATTTTAGAAGAGAAAAGCGTGCCATGGTCTGTGACGTCATATGTACTACTCCTTGGAAAGAGTAGTAAGAAAACCGTGCGATTTGGGGTATTTTCAGAAAGAACTTTTTCACATTTCGGCTTGCTCAAATGCCATCATTTCTGGCAATGATATTTCTTTAATTAGGCATATCAAGTAATCATGAAATCTTATTTTACTTCTGATTTTAAAAGTAATTGTGTTGTATCCATTTTTGTCACAACAACACTGTATCCATTCGAAGTTACGCTTATGTGTCAAAACAATGCTATTGAAAGATCATGAAAATAATTAGTTTATTCAAATCTAACAATATTTTAAAAAGGTTTTCAAATAGAATGCTGGAAAGTCGTTTAAGACAATACTCTTCTGTAATCACCAATATCCCTTCCCCCCAAAATTATTAAATTTTCATTGAGAAATCTGTAATTCTGTTGTAAACCAGAGCGATATCCGCAAACTTTAAAGATTTATCAATTTTCATCAGTCATGAGGGCATACGTAACAAATGACGTCAAGAAGATGACGTAAATTCAAAATTTCAATGATTTTGAGGAGGTAAGTGTTTTTTACGTCGAAATTTGGATTAAAAGTGATTGAACAACTCGATCTTTTGATATAATGTGTAGAATTAAAATATCTATAAAATATGTAGATATTGTGCTGAGGCGAGCTCGCGCTCAGTTAATTCTATACTCAAAATTGAACGAATATTGTCCATGTCGTCCTTTTCCTTGAAAAATAAAGGAAAATCTAAATAGTTTGTGACGTCACAGAAACAAGAATAACAAGATAATCTACTTCCAAGCTATAATCTTATTATTAGTCTTGTGGATTCAGAGTTTTTATACAATAAATACAATTGAGTACACGTCTAGAGAATTTTAAGATTTGGTTTTTATAGAATTAAAACTATGTTTATACCGCACAATGTTCTTTCCCTGAATTGCATCTACATAAAAGAATGATCGCAATCCAAAAATAAATACACATATCTATGTGGCATACAAGGTGAAAATGTATCTGAATTCATTGTAGATTAGAAAGAAATAATTTCTTCCTAAAGGGATAGCTAACAAAGTAATCAAAATATGACCGTAAATAGACTTCAGGAACAACGTGATCACTAAACTAAATAACTTAAAAGCTGTCGATCTCTGACCAAAATTTAACATGATTGTTTGTCTATAACTCTTAAATTATACAAAATCAATACAAATTGTGAATCTATTACAGAAATTATACGACGTCATGTTCTTCTGCACGAGACATTTGTTTCTATACTGGACCAAAAATAGATCGAGAATTTCCAAATTGATTCAACGTGTTATAAAAAATATGTTCACCCCCAATCTGCCCTTGGTGAACGTTACATTTTTTTCTAACCCATCCCTCCATACCCCAACCTAAAAAATAATAAAAAAAATAAAAATATAAAAACAAAATAATGATAATAATAATAAAAATATATATCAATACTTTTTAATTCTGTTTTTCTTCTAGAACAATTAAGAAAGATGGCAAGGTTTGCTTAACAAGTTTATATTATTTAATCATATAATAAAACAATTTTTGCTCTTCCCCCCACTCAGTACTACAATGGAGCCACCTGTAGGGTAACATTTTTTCCCGAGCCCTTCACAATTACTGTATATAATAGAATACTTCTGAGATTTTTGGTTTTGCAAGTATTTATTTCTTCATGTTCAAAATATGCAAGCATACAACGGTATATATACAATTAAATTTGATTGGAAAAAATATTAAATTATCAGTTTTATACATTGCAGACAAGTATTTGTTATTTTGCTAATTTTTTACATTAACAATATGGCAACATAACGAACACAACACGGGTAAAATATCTCATAATAATTCAAAGATGAATATTTGATGTTTATACCATGGCACGGTGTACAAAAATAGAATTATAAAATATGATTCTGCAGATTTCAATGAAGAATTATAAGTCAAACAATTTTAGATGGAGACTCAGAAGGTACAATTTTCTCAGTTTTAAGAGGAGATAACTCCGTACTGCGATCATCTGTGTCTTCCGTTGGGGTTAAATTTGAAGCCCTCGAAAAGATATTGAATCCACCAGACCTGTAGAGAATATATATGCAGAATGTTGTAAAATTTAGCAATAGGAAAAAAAAAGTTTTGGCCATAGTAAATCATAGTGTTCGTAATTTCCCCATAGAGAATCCAAATATTTTTATATCTATGAAATCCAAAATTATGTATTTTTAATTTAATTCTATTCTCAATTGAGTTTTTCTATATTGAAGGTTATTTTATTTGCATGTTCAAATATCATTCTCCGGTTATCATCACTGATAACGACTTAGGGTGATATTATTGCTCATAAACTAAAAGTTCATAGTAAATCAAACTGTTCTGATATTACACCAAAATATTGCAGTCAATCTAAGTACCAAAGCAAAGTAACAATGTCATACTTAATATATGTTAACGTTTCAATCTCATTGTGTATCTAAGTATCAAAATAACGTTATCTATATAAAAAAAAATAAAATGTCATAGTACATGTAAGACTCAGTTTTAAAGTAAAGTATCAATGTCTTAGTACACGTAAAACTCATTATTAAAATAAGGTATGCATGGCATAGTATATGTAATTCTAAGTATCAAAGTAAAGTATCAATGTCATAGTACATGTAATTCTCAATATCAAAGTATCAATGTCATAGTAAATGTAATTCTCACTATCAAAGTATCAATGTCATAGTACATGTAATTCTCACTATCAAAGTATCAATGTCATAGTACATGTAGTTCTCAATATCAAAGTATCAATGTCATAGTACATGTAGTTCTCAATATCAAAGTATCAATGTCATAGTAAATGTAATTCTCACTATCAAAGTATCAATGTCATAGTACATGTAGTTCTCAATAGCAAAGTATCAATGTCATAGTAAATGTAATTCTCACTATCAAAGTATCAATGTCATAGTACATGTAATTCTCACTATCAAAGTATCAATGTCATAGTACATGTAGTTCTCAATATCAAAGTATCAATGTCATAGTACATGTAATTCTCACTATCAAAGTATCAATGTCATAGTACATGTAGTTCTCAATATCAAAGTATCAATGTCATAGTAAATGTAATTCTCACTATCAAAGTATCAATGTCATTGTACATGTTAATCTCAGTATCAAATAAAAGCAACAATGTCATAGCATGTAAATAGTGTCAAAGTAGTTACATGTCCGACAATGAAGCCCAGTTTTATTTGTGTATTAATCGTGAAATGAATTCTACATCTTTAATATGTTTTTTTTGTATACTGCTAATGACGTTAACTCCTGTAGCCTATTTCTCATAATGTTACTTTTTCTAAACGAATTTCGTGACTAATAGAATTTTTTAATCAAACTTCCCCATAGGTATCGAGATTCTGACTTTCTAGGATAATTCAGAAAAAATCGTCAATACATTTTAGTGACAAAACGTGACGTCATCGCAAAGTCATGTTTAATGAGGTTGCAAATTATAGTTTTGTTGCATGGAAATTGCATAAATTCTTTTTTGTAAATCTTTTCAATGAAATATGGAGATTACAAACAGTAATAAAACTCAAAAGTCCACTAAGACAATACAAATCGGGAGCTGAGCAAACACGGAGCTCTAAAAAAAACATCAGAAGTAGGATCAGGTGCCATGGAGGAGTAAGCATCCCCTGTCGACCGGTCACACCCACTGTGTGTTCATTGTCATGATCAGGAAAACGGAAAAATTCGTAGAGAATTCAGTGTTTAAATAACGGCCCAAAATTAATATGAAAAATGTAAGTCAGCATTCGACCTAATCATAGATTGTATTTGCTGTCAAGGTCATTGTATCGACCATAGAACTTGCGAAATAATGACTTTTAAGTAAGACAGTTGATATCCTCGTGTCATTAACTTGTTTGTCAATAGCTTGACTCGTTTAAGAAATTGTTCGTACATGGAGCATGCTCTTGCGTATTGAAAAACTGGGAGACATTATCCACATATGCAGGTTATAAGGGTATATATTTGCTACATAAGAAAGGCAAATTGACGATTGAAAAGTTGAAGTCGTCGCTTTTATCATAAAGTTTTTTTGTTAGGTTACCATTAACGTCTTTTATAGTAAAATATCCAATTACGAAACAGATGTGCCAGACTCTGTGGTATTTTTTATTTTAAGTTCACTTGGATAGTCGACATATGAATGGAAGTAACATTTGTTAATTGATAATACGTCGTCGAGATATCTACATGTTGAGTTGAAGGCCACAGCAAGTGTCTCCTTCTTCTCATGTGGAAGTTTTTGAATAAATTCTTCTTCATATGAATACAAAATAGGTCTGCTAATAATGGGGCGCAATTGGTACCCATGGAAATTCTGCATATTTTAATATCTACTTCAGAGTACTTGTGTGTACAACAAAATTTTTAACAAAATATTTTTGCAAATGACCAATGGCAAGGGAAGTGAATTTACGAGTTCCATTTTTATTGAAAAAGCAGCTAACTATGATGTCAAAAAGCCTGGACTTTAATTTATCGTTGTGGAATGGTTGTATAAAGTGCTGAAAAGTCTTACGTTTTGATGTTATTGATTTTGTTAAAATTTTATTTCAAATTTTCTTAAAGTTCCTTGGCATTTTCAAGTATCCACATCTGATTTACACCACTTCCTAAATATATTGTTGCACAGTTCTCCTGAAGTTTCTCCTTCACTGCTGTTAATGTTTTAGTGAGGATTAAAGAAAGAGGCTTTGTAGAACATTCACTGGAACCCGCTATGTAAATCGATGCCATGATTAATCCACCATGTTGCTTTGTGCACAAAGAGGATTGGGAGTTTAAATTTTTTCACGCAGTTTCATCAAAGTTAATTTGAATAATGCGTGAATGAAATATATAGAGATAACGAACAGTATTCAAGCTCAAAAGTCCATTATACAATACAAAATAGGAGCAGGGCAAACACGGACCTCCAAACATCAGAGGTGGGATCAGGTGCCATGGAGGAGTGAGCATCCCCTGCCGACCGGTCACACCCGCCGTGTGCTCCTTGTCCTAATCGGGAAATAACGGAAAAATCCGTCGACAATTCAGTGTGCAAATAATGGCCTAACAATTAGTATGAAAAACTTCAGTCAGCATTTGACTCAATGATAAATTGTATTTGCTGACAAGGTCATTGTATCGACCATAGAACTTACAAAATGATGACTTTAAACGAGACAGCTGATATTCTTGTTTCATCAACTTATTTGTCAATAATTTACCTCGTTTTAGAAATTGTACATACGTAGAACATGCTCTTGCGTATCGAATCAACTGAGAGATATATACCCCGTATGCAGGTGATGAAGGTATATTGCTGCATAAGTAAGGGAAGTTGACGATTGAAAAGTTACAGTCATCACGTTTATCATAAAGCTTGGTTGTTAGATTACCATTAACGTCTTTTTCTAGTAAAATATCCAAGTATGAAACAGATGTGTCAGACTCTGTGGTATCTTTTATCTCAAGTTCACCAGGATATATCGTATCGACATAAGAATGAAAATAGCCATTGTTAATTGGCAATACGTCGTCGATATATCTAAATGTCGAGTTGAACGCCGCAGCAAGTGTTTTCTTCTTTTCACGTACAAGATTTTGGACAAATTCTGCTTCATATGAATACAAAAAAGGTCTGCTAACAACAGGGCGCAATTGGTACCCATAGGAATTCCAATAGATTGTTGGAAGACCTGGACTCCAAAAACCACATAGATATTGTCAATTAGAAACTCAAGCATCTTTTTAATGTCAACTTCAGAGTACTTGTGTGTACAATCAGAATGTTTTTTAACAAAATAATTTTGCAAATGACCAATGACAAGGTAAGTATATTTACGAGTTCCATTTTTATTGAAAAAGCAGCTGTCAATGATATCAAAAAGCCTGGACTTTAATTTATCGTGGGGAATGGTTGTGTATAAAGTTGAAAAGTCGTAAGTTTTTAAGCTGTTGATTTTGGTAAAATCTTGTGATTTCAAATTTTCCAAAAGTTCCTTGGAATTTTTAAGTATCCACATCTGATTTACACCACTTCTCGAATATATTGTTGCACAGTACTCGTGAATTTTCTCCTTCACCACTGTTAATATCTTAGTGAGGAGTAAAGAAAGAGGCTTGGTTGAACATTTACTGGAACCCGCTATGTTTCTTTGTTTGTAAGGATTTTTATGAAGTTTCGGAATCCAATATAAATATGGTAATTCGAATTCATTTTGGTTGTTTGGAATATTAAAAATATTCAAATCTGACATATGATTTTGAAGAATTTCTTCCTTAGAAAGGGAACTATGAGTATAAGTTGGATTACCACTTGTATAATTAAATCCAAGTTCCTCTAAAATACATTTAATATAATGAGCCTTACAAACAAAGACAATGTTGTTACCTGCTTTGTCAGCAGGGACCAGTACGCACTGATCATGTAATCTATCTAATTCTTTTTTCACTTCTGGATTATTGAATACAGAAGGATAGATGGTTTTGATATTGCCTCTCAATCTTTTAATGCGCGATTTTAACATACATCTGATACATTTAATCCATTCTGACAGTGTCAAAGTCTTCTTTTTCATGTCTGGCCCATCGCCTGGCGTAGTCCTCTACAGAATCCATAATATCTATGAAATTCTTACGCCAGTTGAATGATCTGGGTTCCCTAAATTTAGGACCTTTTAAAATTAGTGATCTAAGGTCCTCATTATTAACTATATTTACGTCACCAGTAATAACGTGTCCAGCAGGACTATAGTTATAGGGCGAAGAAGAACATGAACACGATGGAGGATTACGTTTCAGATATTCGATATCCAGGCCCTGTAAAGTTTTCTTGTAATTAAAAAGTTTGGAAGCAATAGTCGATGTATATTTGTAGGAAATACAAGGTGTAGTCTTTAACTTGAAATATGGAATATTAACCCGAATTTTCTTCGTTGTCCAACTAAGTTGTAAAGTGCACTTTATAACCAATAAATTATAGTTAGAATATACAAACCTCTGTCTTTTTCGTATTAAGATGACCAAAATCAATATAAAGATAATGATAAAAAGAATCCCGACTCCAACTCCAATGTAAACAGGTAAATCTGATGAGGTTGAATAGATGGGAGTAGAAGTGTTCCTTGTATAAAGATCTGTGCCATATTTTATACAAGACGGGTTTTCATTAGGTTCCCAATGTCCATTCCTGCATGTAACATTATTTGTACTTCTATATACCATATATCCATTTCTGCATACAAATACTGCAGAAGAGTTTTCTAGATTTCCATTGGTTGATTCCCATACACCACCAGGAATTGTTGGCAAATCACTACAAGTCAAAACTGTAATGGAATTGTAGATATCAATTTCATAAAAGTTAAAATAGTCAAATTAACTGACCTCTTCAAAATATTGTGTGATTATTTCAATTTTGAGTAATTGTTTCACCTATCAATGCTGCCTCCTGAGATTCCTGAAACTGTTTCTGGAATGTCAGAGATTGCTCCGCTACGTCACGTGATCCTGTGACAGAGAAATCAAAGATACATTCTTTGTCCTCTCCGCAGACCGCCCTCACCTCCTCTGTAACTGTTACTGAGGATTCAAATACAGGACGAAATGATGGCTGGTGATAGTCAGCAAAACTCTTTCCAGGTTCATACGTGAACAGGGACTCTGTCTCATTGATGACCCCTACAATTACAAACCTTACTGCTCTAAATATTATATTCATTTTGATTTTTGTGGTAATATACACAAACGTTACATTCATATTCATGAAACATTTTTAAAAATTTATAAAAAATAACCTTGAGAAAATGTAAAACATGGTGAGAAAAAAATTAAAGGAGATGAAAAAGGTGAAAATAACACACAGTTATCAATCTTATCAAACAAGTTGTGAAATTGGCAATCAAGGAGTCAGAAACACCAGAGGTAAGATCAGGTGCATGGGAGGAGTGAGCATCCCCTTTAGACCGACACAAGAGTCGTGATCTCTTCTATATTGACTATGGTAAACAGAGAAATCAATAGTAAAAATTGCCTTACAGTTATTATTTAAGTCAGAATAAAGAAATAAGTTCTATTTGCAAACATGGTCATTAAAACGTAGATTTTGTCTTTGTCAGCATCCTTCTTCTGTTTAAATATTGGTCATAATGCCCAAAATTAGTACAATTAACCGTGGTTCACACATAGAGCACAGTTGTTATCACGAAACACTACAAGAGAAAAATAATAACTATTCGAGAAATAGTTTCGAATTCCATACTTAGAAAGTTCTCTTGCTTATTGAATCATTTGAAAGGAGAGACATAAACGATACATACAGGTGAAATGGAATGTTACTACTTTAATAGGGAAAGTTAATGACCAAATACCTGAATTTATCAGAATGCAAAAATGACATGGTGTCATCTATTTTCCAGACAATGCCGTATCGAACGATGTAAATCATATTGTAAGAAGAAGAAAGAACAAAATTGACCATCTTGTGAGAGAAAGAAAGAAGGAATGTCTAGAATCACCAGCAGAGAGTACCTGAAAAAGTACTAATCATATGATAATATTCTGACAGTCCCTGAAAAGGTTCCAATTAGAAAATAATTATCTTCCAAGAGTCACCGAAGCTAACTTATCTTTCAAGGTGCTCGAAAATTTTAAATTGCTTTCTAAAGAGCTCTCTTCAATTTATAGGCTTCTTTTACATGCGTATTTGTTTTATAATATGTATTCCATTCACAATAAAAGTTCGTCAGACTTTTGTCAAGCATTTTGTGCAATGACTGGAAGACATTTAAATAAACGGAAATAAAATTTTACATACACGACATTCCGAATTGATTGAAGATCAACACATCGGTCGCATTTTCTGGTAGTTGTTGTTGAGTAGAAGAAAGTAGATCATTTGAGGCATTTCCATCAGAATTCCCAAGTAAACCTTTTAGCTTTCCTTTATGATTAAACATGTAAACCAAATTAGTATTCTACGACGCGTAAACTAACAATGTTTTTTTCTTTAATTCTTTAATGACAAAAATAGTTTTAAGCTATAATTGATAATTCAGTTTAACGAAAAGTACCTTTAAGTTGATCCCCTTGAACTACTGGAGAGATGTTTAATATTTTCTTCGATGCTTGAATGTTAAACGCAATTTTTATGTCTTTAAACATTACCATTATTGATTTGTCTGTACTATTATCCTCGACAGGAAGTAATATGACTGTTACACCTGCAAAAAAGATTTCATATTAAACAAACAATTCTTTAATTCAAATCCCATCACAAATTCTTATAAAAAAAGCGTCAAATTCCAGCATAAATTGATAATTGTTACATATATACGAAACCTTTTAAATTCATCCAGTTAGATTCCTCAAAATCTAAAAGTTGTCCATTTCTAAGAACATCAGCTGTTCGAATCGGGTTTAGTCGAACTTCTATTCGATCAGAACTGTTGATGTGTTCCATCACTAAGGCTGTCGCTACAGTAGCTTGCACTAGACTTCCTAAAGAAGAAAGACTGACTTCATCCTTAAATTTCTTATATCTCGACAATTTTTATATAAACATACATGTATCTGTAAATTTGTTAGCCTACCATCCTCCTTCTGAAACTGTTCGAAGCGTATCTGGCTTTTGAACAAGTCATCCTCTGTGTATATGTACACAAACTCTCCAGCTCCATTAAATGTATAACTGTATCCATCAAGGGTACTCAGATGAGGGTCACCGCTGGTTCTAGCTGAAACAAAATAGAACCTGATAAGAAAAAAATAGCTGTGTTTCACATATTAAACTAGGAACCCCTTTCATTTCAATCGTGCAGTTCTTTCGATACATAGAAAAATAATGGTCCTTTTAAAGCTTAAGGATGCTTTCTTCACAATGGTTTATTCTCGAAATGTGAGTAAAAACTAATTTGTTTAAAATCATAAAAAGATTTCTGATTAGAAATATGACAGTATTTAAAAATGTAAAATGTTCATATCAATCCTTAGAATTTACACTAAAATGTATATTAAATTTTACAGATTAAAAGTAAATTTTATAGATTACTTTGTAAATTGTTCACATTAATATTTACATTTTTCACATAATCCGTAAAATTTACACATACAACAATAAATTTTATGCTATTATCTGTAATCAGACTTGATGTGTGAAATTAACTCTTCAATCTGTAACTTTTACACAAAAAATTGTATAAAAATACACCTTGATCTGTGAAATCTACAATTCAATCTGTACAAAGTAAATAATCAATACATTCAGCAGTCTCATAAATGGCCTACAGATCCTTCATGTTATACTGTGGATCACCAACTTTATGCAACACCTTATTTTCTCGAGCCTTATTTTCTCGAGATATGTATTTGGTTTTTATAAGCAAGACAACATTTCTACGAATTGTGGTTATTGCTGTATATTTCCTATATGCTAATAATTAAAAACGCGAGAATGAATTTTTTTGGCTGACTGTCTCGCGTAATAACGCAGAATTAAAGTTCTCCCGAACAAGAATTGATTTATGTTTAAATTTTAGTTGATCAATTTGCATGTACTGTGAAAATAATAACTTATCAATCTTTTTAGATATATATGTCTTGTACATGTATAGATATAAAACAAATAAAAACAAGATGTGTTTGTGAAACACTATGCACCCGGCGGCAACAAAGTTTGAAAAAGCTATTTTTAGCACACAGGTCACAGTCAAGGTCACAAGGTCATTAACCTTGGTGTCATTTGAAAGAGCTTAATTACTGGAGTAAGCATACCAAATATGAAGTCTCTTATCTCTCATGGTTCAAAATTTATGGCGAAGGTTAAAGTTGACAACAGACAGAAAAACAGACAAACAGACAGACAGGACAAAAACAATATGCGCCCCCGATCTATCGATCCGGGCGCATAAATATACAATTTAACATGCTATTATGAAATATTTGAAGATGTAATGAATTCAAACGATGCGTGCAAAAAATCAAACACACACATATTTTTAAAGAATGTATCATTAATTTTGAATGTTGCATATAATCATTTTAAAGTAAATTCAATTGATGTGTGCAATTATGCAATAATTGATAGCATTTGCTTATCTAGTACTCGCAACAAATGGATTACTAATACTTTTAATATAACCAGAATCAATCAGTCCTAGGTAATAAAGTATTTGAATTTGAGATAAATAATTTTACTTTGGCAGCTTTATAAAAATTAATTTCTGTTAATTTAATTTTTTGACTTTACGTTCGAAAATGATTTTAATTTTAACTTTTATATTTTACATCATGGTCATACACCCATAAATTAACAATATCAATCAGAACTGGAAATAAGAAACCAAAAAAATTTTAGATTATAGTTGTTTAATGTAGGAATACATGCGTAATAAAAGAAAGTGTCATTGTGGCATACTGCGCTTCCATATGTTAGATATAGTCTACCTGGCCTAGGAGGTTCATAATTTTGACAGGAGCTGTATTTCCGTATTTTCAGAAAGTCTTGGCAGAGATTGTACGTGGTATTCTCTTGATTGATGTCTGATTGCATCTGTGAAAATCGACAGCATTGCAAAAAAGGCACCACGTCGTGATAAAAGTTTGTAATATATGGAACGTTTTCAGGTTTCTTTCCAAGATAGTGAAATCGCTGCAGTGTACCGCCTTCCTGGACTCTTGAATCAATGAGGTTTCCCTTGGCATTAAAGCAGCAAACATTGTCCATTCCAGTTTCGCTTTAGAAGAGAGCAACTTTATTTACAGGCTTTAATTATGACAATTTTCAAAAAGCGTATTTCTGGAATAAAGGATAAGTGAACAGTTTTTATTCTGACATATATGCAACAAAATGAAACCTTTTATATGAGTTTAATTGTGATAAAAGAAATACCTTGGTCCAGAAAGTCTTACACAATGTCTGGCATCTCGTCTGTAGCGACAGTTGACAGTTTGCTTTGATTTAATTTGGAACCTGTTACAATCAGGATCGGGTTGATATTTTACAATGTCCAACACGGCCTGCTGGATTGTGCAGGGACAAGGTCCGACATCAAAGTCTGTAGAAAGTGATTTAGTCTCGCTCTTTATCCAGCTCTGACATGCTTGAATTGCTTCATCTTTAGATTTGGATATTGGAAAAACGTCAGACCAAATTCCTCTCGGTGGCCTAATTATAGATTTTATCAAATATTGTTATATTGAAAGGATTTTCTTTTTAATTCATGAAAAGATATATGCTTCAGATTAAAAACATAACATTAATACAATGTCTCTATGCAAATATTAAGTAAGTAAACAAAAACGTTAATTTAATGATAATTTGAACTTACATTTTAATCATAGTCTCTACACGAGAGGTAACTCGCAGTAAAGCGACATGTTGTGTCACATTCAAACTGAAAGTTGTCATGCACTCAGATTTAGAAATATTCTTTTTTGCAATAAAGCTCTCAAACTTCAAACCTCCATTTCTTAGCTGAAATAAACACCATTAACGGACTATGGATGCTAATGCAGTGGATTTTAAACTAGTGCTTTTGACAAGTCATACAGGAAAGTAAGGAGCTTCATTACAGTAAAATTATCAATGTAGTATATTTCCACTTTCTTAATCATAAACTCACTGCTTATGCATACCTGAAGAGTGAATAAGTGGAGATCCACGGAGCTACTGTTCTCAAGCTCTGCCTCTTTTTCATCCCAAGATATACTGTGTTCACCATTTCCCCAGATGTCGGGATTAACTCGATTCACAAGAACTTTGCTAAATGCAGGATTTACTAAAAGAAATATGATGAATGAATATACATGCACTACCCAAAACAAACCAAATCAAATAATCAAATACAAGTTCAGTTTCGGCATAAATACATTTTTTAATTTGAAATTTAAGATTTCATGTAATAGCATACCAAGATTTCACACTTGGCCCTCTAGTTTGTATTGTTAGAAGAAATCTGGCCGAAACGCGAGAGTAGTCCATGTATACGTGTTAAGTGAAATTAAAATAAAGTGTGTATTCACCCAGTTCAAGGTTGTACTGATTTGGAAATAACCCTGAACATAAGCTTCTAACTGAGGAGATGCTTATCTTATTCAAAGCATCTGATTTCAATAATGATAATAAAAAATGAATAAAAAATATTTGCAATTGTTTGGATTGCTTATGTGAATAAATATACGTGTAGTATTGCCATTGAGCAGATAATAATTTCGGGTAAATATTTTTTTGTTCTTTATGGTAAACTACGAGTATATGCATGTTTTAGATACTAAAATTTTTATCTGAATAACAATGGTCAATGTTTGTGGGGATGTAATTGCTAAGAAACAAATGTCATATTATATTTGCTCTTTTTCATGTTGCGTCTAGCATGGAAATGAAAATGTTATGATAGTTTTTAAAACTTACAAACAAAAAACGTTCCTTCAAACGAGTGGGTTGTGGTCCGATTGCTTAAATATATGAGCACGGAAAGATCGCCGTCGCTGTCAAACATAGGAGTGATGCAGACAAAGCTGTACTGCGACTTAATCTCACACTCTAAAACCCACCGAATGCCAGGAAACTTGACTTTGAAGGAGCTGTACTGGTCAACACAAGGTCCACTAAATGTCAGGTGCTGACCCCCAAACATAGGACCGCTCCTGGGTGTTATGATTACATTGCCTGAATAAGAAATATATTTTTAATCTAATACAAACTGCTAAAGAAGGGATACTACACAGCTAACATAAACTATGTTGTTGCATTCTTCGTATTTATCATTCTAAGACGGCTCAAACTCACCAGCAAAATGCATATGTTGTATATCCGATGATGTTTTGGTAGACGTACTTTTAAAGCATAATAAATATAACATATAGGACTCATAAAAATGATGCTTGGTTTTAGTGAAGAGAAGTAGAAATCTATATTAAACAAAATGGGTTTGTGAAACACGGATGATCCCGTATTGCACCTCAAGGCCAAGGCAAAAGTTTTTCAAATGTAGGTCAAACTCCAAGGTCAGGAGTTCAAAATTGTTAAAACCCAAAGAAATGCCTCATCATAAGAGATATACATGTGAAATATAATAGCCCTAGTAGCAACCATTCAGAAAATATGGCCAAAGTTTTTTCAGAAATTAGGTCATTCTTCATTTTTTCAAATTAGATAATTTAATGAAAACAGAATTTCCCGAAACCTTCATTATCTGATTTTGTATAAATCACGCCAAGAAACCGAAAACTGTTTGAAAGATTAAAAAGTAAAATGTTTCTATCATTACTTATTTAAGAAACGTATGTATGTTAAAAATCACCAAAATATCAAACAGGAATAAGAAACAAAAAGACGTATTTTTTCCAATGTATGGAAAAATTGAATTTTATAAATTGTCTTTTCTAGCAGATTTTTGTTTTAGCAAAAATTTCCTTCTTTATTTCAAAAAATTCTGACTCCATGTTGTATTCCAAAACTTAGAATTTAAATCTCTGATTTTAAGCCATCCCAAACCAAGGTTTTATAATTTAAAAAAAGCAACTCTTTGAAAAGATTTCTTATTCCTTGATTTTAATCCCCTTTTGTTGTCTCAACATATTCCTGTTAGCCCTGACCTCAACAAACCTGAATCTTTACTGCCTGAGGATGTTTGCATATCAGTATGAGAAAAATGGCTTTTCTATTCATTAGAGGATTTTTTTCTTTATATTCCTATGTAAATCTTTGATCTTCTAATGTGGCTATCAAGAATGCTACCATATTAATGAGTGATCCTAACTTTGCTGTTCTTGAGAAGTTTTTTATGCTCCTCTAATCAAAGACTCGGGGACAAATTGTTTTTGCTCTGTCTTACTGTTTGTTTGTTTGTTTCTGTTTGACCGAATAAAATCCTTGCCCATAACCTTTTTCTGCTTTCAGCTAGGGGCTTTCATATTTCACATTTGTATTCCTAGTGACAAGACTCTTCGTTGGGTAAGATATATTTGACCTCTAGACCTTTGAGTTTTACACAAGTTTTCAATTGTTAGAGCTAGGACTTTCGTGTTAAACATATTCATTCCTTTTAACATTTCATTTGGTACCAACAATTTTGACATTTTTACCTTGATCTTGGAGTTTGACATCCTTTTAAAGTTAAAAAAAACGAGAACTTTTGCCATAACTTTTGAATGGTTGCAATTGGTGATAAGGCTTTTATATAGTACATTTGTTTTTCTTATGATAGGGACTTCCATTAATTACCATTAATTTGATCTTTGGAAGTTGGAGTTGACTTATTTTTGAAAAAAAACCTTGGCCATAACTTTTGAACGCTTGGTACTAGAGCATTCATTTTTACAAGTGTATCCCTTGTGAAAAAGCCTTTCGTTTTAGTACCAATATTTGGACCTCAAAACCTTAAGCTTTGTGTATCATTTTTTTGTAAAATCTTTAACCTTGACCATATTTTCTGAATGGTTGCTGCACAGGGTTGGGTTCAATTATTTTGAAATGTAATTTATTACTTTCAAATACATTGATGGTCTTGTCATTTACTTGCAATTACAATTACATTGATTTTTACAAATGTAATTAATTACTCTCAATTACTTTGAAGAATGTAATTAAATAAATTTCAATTACTTTAGTTTTATTTTCAAAAATCTTGAAGTACAAATACATGTAAATTTTAGGTAGGGGTTATATTTAAAATAAATAGCCTCAGGTGCCTTTGATGTCACTGTGTTTCATCAACACACGATCTACATGTACATATTTATTAATCACCAAATCATGGAATTTGATTATGAGAGAGTTTTTAAGAGTTTTGAATCAAATGTAAAATACTCTCAAATTATTTCATCTGTAGGTAAGCGTAACGCTGACAATTTTCATAAAATAAATGATACTTGAATTAATTATTCAAGATACTAACTTTTTTTTATAAAGATATATGTTTAGGTGTTAAAATAATGATTTAATAAAGATTTCTTCCCTGAAATGTATAAATAATTGTCATGCGCATTCTTAATTGTATTAAATAGATCACCTCTAATGGTCATATCTTTTAAGTTAAACAAAGCATGGTATAAATAACCTTTTGGGGAATTGTTTTGATAGCAATTTACAGCTGTGATTTGAAAGGCAACAAGGCAGGTCTCAATGACACATGAAACTATTTTCTATTTGACAATCAAGCAACAAAAACTTGAAATGTTTCATGGCTATACCATAGAAGGGTAGAACAAAATTTTAGATAAACATTAAATTCATATTAATTCTATATGGTGCATCATGATTATAAAACAAACTATTATTATAAATAAGCCAATATATCAAATTCATTTATAAGGATGTAAAAAGTTTGAGAATTTGAAAAACAAAAGGGTTGAGGATGTTTTAAATGAATAGAAAGAACGGTAAAATGTAACTGTGATGGAAAAATTTCCCTATTAAATACTCATAATATATATTATGTATAGTAATTGAAATGTAATTGAAAAGTATTTGAAATTACATGGTATTTTTTCATTGTAATTAATTAAATTAAAAATACAAGTTATTGGAAAAATGATCAATTACATATTACTTCCAATTACCTTTAAAAATGTAATTAATTACACTAAATTACAATTACTTTTTTCAATTACCCCATCCCTGTTGCTGCAAAGGCTTTTATATTTCATAAGCGTATTTCTTGTGACATGTTCTTTCTTTTGTGTAGCAACATTTTTGATCTATTGACCTTGATCTTGGAGTTTGACACTGAAAAACTGTAACCTTTGTCATGAGCTGCAACACGGGGGAATCATTGTTTTACAAACAAATCTTGTTTCCTATGTACAGATGTATAATATATATATTCCGAAGTACTTTGATCAGCTATTGTGGCCCCACTCTTCTCTATTTAAAGTTTTGCCCTTGATTTTGTCATTCAACACCTAGAAATGTTAATCATGTCTCAATAAACTGACTTTTTATAATCAAGTTTTGCGAATGTTAAAATCATGAAATGCTTCTTGAATGTGGTTTTGATCTCAAAATTATTTACCTTATCATAATCAAAATTTACTTATACAGTTCTTTTACAGTGCACCACATATGTAATACTTTACACCTTCCTTTCATAAAATGCAATCGTTAACAATAAAAACTTTGCTTAATAACGAATCAAATTCCATGTTAACTGTTTATTGTTCCTTTCTTTTTCTTATAATTTTTCTTACAATTATTTCTGATGAAAAATTTGGGAGGCATAATAAAAATTTTAACTTTGCCCTCTTATTTACTTAAAGGAAAAAGAAACGCATATTTTTGATTGATCTACTATATTTCCATCTTATCATTATTAAAATAGTTCTGAATTTATTTGGGCTTTAAATAATGTCTACAAATGGACATGTGATATAAAATCACTCAATCATATGTCTGCCGTGCTCGACTGTAGCACCAGTATAAGTGCCTTTGAGCATCGGATTGAAAGCCATGTAGCTGTAATTTCGGACAAGCAGTTGTTGAACAATTTTTGCAATCTCCAGTGCATGTTTTGAAAATATTTGGTGATAATTTGTACAAATTTTGACCCTCAAAGATATCAGGCCTTACTAAAATTCTAAGAGGTCTTGTTTTTGCCTAACTAATGGAAAAAGCAATCAAAATGAAATTGTCGAGTAATTAAATATGTCTCAATCTACTGTATCACAGCTAGAACGAAGACGCAATGCACGCGACTTTGGATGATCACTAATGATACAATACTGTATTTGTACGAGTGTTGTAGATAAAGTTCGTGGACAAAATATATATTCTGAATAATAACAGCCAGGAACACAATCGTTTAGCTCATGGGAATGTCAGATCAGAAAATGAAAAATTTAGAAAAAGTACGGCAGTAAACATGTACTTAATATTTCTAGAAAATAATTAATTTCTGAGAAACTGCAGTCTTGGTACTGAGATCGTAGGTATCCTTTTATTACACACTTTAGACAAACTTATTCTTCTATTAAAGAAAATGATGCAAATAATATATCAACGATATGAATAGGGGGGGGGGGTCACTATACTTTGTTAGGGGGACTATATAGCCCCTTTCCCCTCTAGAGCCATATTCCTCCGGGAGAAGTCTAAATATAGGGGAAGTCTCCCTACATGTATTTGACAACGGCTCACTGGGGAAGAGAAAGAGGAGGAACTAAAATCCAAGTCCCCTATTTTCCTCAAAAAACGAATTACAGTTGACAGTTTTTAGGCAAAATGGGCGACAGTCGGCGGTTCATCGGCCGTTGTCTTGTCCGATTTTTTAGCTCTTTCCTCGTCGGCCGACCGATCTTGTGTCCGTTGGGCCAAGTTATATTTTTTCTGCGTCGATGGCCGATTTCTTCAATTGGAGTAGTCATTGAATAGTAAATCGACCAACCCTCGATCATCATCCGACAATCGGTCGACATTTATAGGTATTGGGTTTGTCGGCCGACGGTGAGTATCAAACTGCGGCTTAGCGTTATGTGATCGGGTGACGATTTGCCGACTTATAAATATATGAACTCTTAAGGACATTAGCAACGCATTTTAACTTTATCGTCTTATTCTCTGCATAATTTAAATGTCGCAATAACTGAAGGAGCTTTGTGCGATTTTATGATGCCTGGTAGTGCTGCACAACTCTGAATACAATGTTAAGGAAATACTTATGGTGTCCCGATAGGGCCATCTGCAACAATGTAACAGCGCCTAAGAAAAACGCGCTAGCACGAAGTGACAACGGGCTAGGTGTTGTTTACTACACACCGTCGCGCTTACACACAACACACTGTCATGCTAACGCAATTTTACACAACACGCTATTGTCACTTTGTGCTATCGAGTTATCAGTTCGCGCCAGCGCGTTGTTATTAACTCATAGTTGCACTTTTGCAAGTGATAACGCGCTATTGCAAAGTGACAACGCGCCATCGCATTGTGAACAACGCGTTAGCGCATAGCTACTTGTTTCTAACGCGCTTTTACACTTTTGTAAATGGCCCTGTCGGGACTTTACAAATACTAGCAAAACTATATTTTTGTTAATTTTCTTTTAAAAACACAAAGATTTTCTTCATTTGATATCTTCACTTGATACCTCGTCGCCCGCGTGGCGCAGTGGTTAGAGCGTTTGCTATAGAGTCACGGTGTAAGGAGTAGATCATTACGTCGTTGGTTCGAATCCACTGCGGGATGTGGAGACTGGTCCTGCGGATGAGACTGTATAAACGAGATCCCGTTTCGCAGTAGGTGCTGGCACGAAAAAGATCCCTCACTGCTTAAGCCCCAAGTGCCGAGTATAGGTCAAAATTTGCAGCCCTCCACTGGCAAGTGGTGGCCTCTCCATATGAGTAAAAACCTCTCGAGAGGGAATAACAACAAACAAACAAACAAACATTTGATATCTGTTCAAAACTCTTAGTAATGTATGCTGATTTCGGTCCAAAAACATCTTATTGTACTATGGTTTTAAATTAAGAATATCTTGGAAAATTATCAGTGGGAAAGGTACATTGTAAAATACATGTACATATACGTTGCGTGTGACCTTAAAGTCATCGGAGATATCCATACTTACTGGCATCCCAAAGCATCTCCTCTACTAAGGTTATAATGTAGGTGTTTGATTTAAGGGTGTCGTACCTTGCATAAACTGAACGGACGTAATGAAGAGTTCCGGGTTCAGGGAGATAACTCTAATGTTTTAATGTTCGAGAATGATCCTAAAAGCCCGGGCATATATATGATCACTAATTTAGATAATATTTTAGTATGACTTTTAGAATTTCAGATCTTACTTAACGCAATGAAAAATAAATATTTTAAAAGTTTAAAAACGAAATTGAACCTTTATTCTGATAATATTAACCTCAAAAGGTTGTATTATACAGGGAAAATGCAACATGTAGAAATAAAAGTCTGTGCTGTATCGTCGAATTGTTGAATAATGAGAAATGACAAGGTGTTAAAACCTGGCACAGAACTAGGAAAGTAGAGCTTTTCTCAAAAAAGGAAATATTTTAATTCTTTATATGACAGAAAACTTTGTACCTTCTGTGTTACACCCTCCTCCTCCAATTTTTGACGAATCTATTCTGAAGACGAACTTTCCAGGTATATCTACGTTGGATTTACTGTTTATGTTGACAATGTCTGCTGTACGTGACCCGTTCACTACATAATATACTTTCCCGTCACCGGCATTAAAACCAACCTATAATTCGAGAATATGCTGCTCATTAAGAATTCGGAATGCAAAAGCCTGATTACAGCTTTATGACATTCACGAGAGAGAGAGAGAGAGAGAGAGAGAGAGAGAGAGAGAGAGAGAGAGAGAGCAGATTGATTAATGAAGTAAACATAAATGGAATAAGTACATGTAGTATTCTTTTTAAGGTATGTTACTCGTCAACGTTTGAAAAAAAAAAACAAGTTTGATAGGAACCTTTGATATCAAAATTGAAAAAGATGGTCGAACAAGGTGTGCAAAATACTGATGGTTTGACAAATGAGAAAGTGAAAAAAAACCATTCTTCTTTGACATTTTAGTTAACATTTATTTATACTTTATGTAAAAACGCCACAATCTGCATCAATTTCGCAATTATTAAAATTATTCTCTATGAAATAGCATATAACACCGAAGAAGGCAAAAATGATCATTTCTTCCTATCGAAACACAATTTTACCAAATAAGTGGGACTTCGCTCTATTCTTTTTTTTTGAAAGTATATCTTCAAAGTATGCATAAATATATACATTTTTGCTTAACAAAAACACGGAACAAGGACCCACTATGCCTTAAAAATACAGTTTTGATGACATACATGTAACAGTTATATGTTTCCGTGAATTATTTGAAGTCTAGTTATGTACTGAAGGGTCCTATCACAAACAAGATTCGAATGTCGGTTCCTGCTACAAGTTGTGTGGTGTAATGGTTATTATTTCAGTATTTAAGAAAGAAAATTGAGAGCCCCCTAACCAAAAAATACTATAGAGAACTATAGTTCACTTTAGTTTACTATAGTAAATCAATGTTTCAAAGTTATCACTTTAGTAATTCAAAGTTTTCAAAATTATCAATATAGTGTCAAAGTTATCACTATAGTACATCAAAGTTTTCATAGTAAACACTATAGTAAATCAAAGTTTTCATAGTAAACACTGTAGTAAATCAAAGTTTTCATAGCGATCACTATAGAAAATCAAAGTGACAACGTTTACACAATGGTAAATCAAAGTTTCAAAATCAGCATTATGGTTTATAAAGGTTTTAGAAATGAAGCCTCTAGAAATTAAAAGTTTAAAATGTATTACTACAGGATATAATTTTCTGTGATACATGTAGACAACATTGGTATTAACCAGTTTTGCAGATTATCTTAATTCTCAAAAGATATCTATTGATGTGTTCTATTTCCAAAAATCCCATGCAATTTGTATGTAATCTATTTTTTGCATTCAAATTCATTTTTAATTTTATACTTTTTTTGACAAAAAAAAAAAAAAAAAAAAAAAACAAAAAAAAAAAAAAAACATGGTTTTCAAAAACTTCTACGGGATAACATTTTAAAAATGAATATTGTTTGGCTTTTATTTCAATTGACCTTTTTGTATTATTTAGTAAATAACAAAATTTAATGTTCTTAAGTACGTAAACAAGACATATACAGTAACCATCTTAAATCCAATGATGTTAAGTATATTTGAGTGATAAATAATAAATCAAAGTTTTCATAGTGATCACTATAGTAATTAAAGTTTTCATAGTGATCACTGTAGTATATCAAGATTTTCATAGTTATCACGTTAGTAAACCAAAGTGTCAAAGTTATCACTATAGTTTCCATAGTGTCAAAAGTTATCACTATATATAGTTAATTTTAGTATTTTTTTGTTAGGGTCAGGATTTTTATCGCTTCAAGTCCCAAAAAACTTTTTTACGGAGGCCCTGGAGGGAGACTGCCTTACTTGTTATCACTTATTTGCTATAACTTAATTGATGTGACTTATTTGTTATGAAGTTTTTGTTGCTAGTTATAACTAAATATTACGTAGCTATGGAGAACGTGTTGCTTGGCTTACGTTTATTGTTAAAATGATATGTTTAGTCCTAGTTTAACTGTGCTTTTGATTTATTATTGTAGTGTAATGTCCAGTACAACTGTAACTACTAAATTCTCATGTAACTTTGTTGGTTTAACTTAATTTTTATTTGTTTTTTCTTATTTGTAAATTCTTGTTACTTTAATAGTTATTAATTAATTCTTATTTGTAAGTTCCATTTTGCATAATGATTGAACACATGAACATAACTACTATTTTATCTTGTCGTTAGTAATAAATTCAAAGGCAAAATATTACTTCCTTCTTTTCTGCAACTACAAGTAGCCTCGATCTTTCATGCAACTTTTTTGGCTTAAGTTAACGTGTGATAACAAATCTAAAATAACAAGAATTAACAATTAAGTCATACGAACTAAGTCAAAACACCTAAGAAGTAAGTCAATGTCCCTCCTTAGAACAACTAAGGTACAAGATATAACATATAGGACTTAAGTTATCACAACTGTACTGAACATTAAACTACAATTAATCAATCCAAACTACAGTAAAACTAGGACTAAACATATCATTTTAGTAATAAGCATAAACTAAGCAACACGTTCTCCATTAAGCTTCGTTAGACTTGGTTATAACCAGCAACACCAAAAAAAAAAAAAAAAAAAAAAAAAAACAAAAACCCATAACAAATAAGCCACAACAAATAAGGTATAACAAATAAGTCTTAACAAGTAAGTCAGAGTCCTTCCAGGGCTTCCGAAGTTTTTCATTCTTTTTATATTCAATGTAGGTCTCAGGAAAAAAGGATATGAACAAATTATACACATTTTTTAACATACTTTATCAAAAAATTGCAGATATAGTGAACGTCATAATAAATTTAACCTTGATTTTAGGGTAAAATTTGCATCTGTTGACAAACTGGTCCAAATCATTTTAATAATAAACATGGGTTACTTTGATTACATGGTTACATAGTTACTTTGATTTTTATACTAAATTCGACTCTGAATTACTACGTCTATTTGATCAATACGTAGCATTCACGGCGAGTCGACAGGGGATGTCTACTTCTCCTAGGCACCTGATCCCACCTCCGGAATTTCTAGGGGTCCGTGTTTTATGCTCTGTTCACAGATTTGTATCGTTAACAGGTTTTTCGACAGTGATCACCATTCGTTATCTTCATGTATTTCACACGAGGCTTAATTGTTTTGAAAAAGGTCGTAAGAGTACACCTTTCCTTAATCTCTGTCCCTGAAATAAGAAAAGATAATCAACTCAGCCAAGGCCGTCAGTTTTCTGAAAAGGTGGCACAAGGAAGGATCTTCAAATGTTCTTCTCCTTTTAGCCAGAAAATTTTATGAAATCATTAGTGGGTGTCTGGATCATTCTGGGATTCATTTTTACACATGATAAGTGAACAAACTCTAGCAGTAGTGGTTAAAGAGAAAAAAATGAATCAATTTTGTTAAAAAGTCATATATATCAAAGATATTTTCTTTAAAAAAAAGGGGGGATGCAATTGCTCCCACAGTACCCCTGTATATTAAACACATGTTTATAACACACACACACACACACACACACACACACACACACACACACACACACATATATATATATATATATATATATATATATATATATATATATATATATATATATATATATATATATATATATATATATATATATATATATATATATATATAAGAATGTAAAGCTCGGAATTTTCTTGTTTTATCCTATAAAATAAGCATAATCGGAAGTTGATGTATGCCATGTAAAGTCTTAAACTGTGTTGAGACAATTTTTGAGGAATAAATGAGTAGTTACAATAAAAAGGCTCAAAGAAAGACGCCTGGAACGATTCATTAATTAAGAAAAAAATTATCTCGACCCTGACTTGTTTAAGTAGAATAATGATCGATAAATTAATAGGATACGCGTTTAAAGTTGAAGTGTCTGAAATTGAGTAAGGTACCTTGTGGTAAAAATAAGCAGGGGGTGCCCTATTTACGAGACCTTTGTCTATGACCTATTATGCATTGCATGGGTAGCTCCCCCAGAGAAGTACTGACCTGTGCAGGTTTTCCCCCGAGTCCAGTATTTGCATTTCCTTCGCTTGCTGTTCCAGTTGTCCATTGAATGTTCGCATAATTAAATATGGCGAAGGCATGTTGCCCATTTGTTATCAGTACAGCTTGAAATGTATTTCTCTACAAAAGTTTTTAAATGGATTCTTAACATAACTAAATATAGCACATGTATCTCTAGGTATAATAGCGTACCTTAAAAATAAATAAAATTTGTACCTTTGAACAGCCGCCATTAGAGCACCCATAAAAAGCTACTTTATCCCACGTAGCTATGAACACCCAAGCAGCATGGAAACGGTTAAACTCTGGGAAATTTGTCTTGATTTCATTGGAAGCCCGGTCTAATATCCTTGAATTTGTAGTTTCTCGATACCATACCTGTCCTCCTTTTCTTGTGTCCACGTCCCCCCAGTAGGGGGTGATAAGTCTACGGTCCCCATCCAGCGGAAAAGGATCTGGTGTATATTGTGACACTGGGGTCAAGAATGAGATAGCACCGTTTGTACTCACCTTCAAGAAAAAAAAGTACTTATACACAGAAGTGCAAATACTAAGTACATATATATGAATTGCTGCCCTTTAATTACTTAAGCATTATACTTATCTTATAAGAAATATACTTACGATTAATTTATTATGTGGCTTATCGAAGAAAGGAAATTTTGTGGATACTGGAATATCAGGAGAGTTTCCGTCATCATTTTTAGCCATTACAGTATCACCATTGTCCCCACCAAAAGGATAAAAGTCCGAAACTGAAAGTGTCTCAACACGGACTGCACAAACCGTCCACGACATTAACAGCGGGTAAAACATGACATTAAAATCTTATATCAACGGAACAAGATCTTTAAATGACTATCATGACTAATGCAGGTTGGATTTACAAAAATCGATTTGAAACGTATTTTTTTTCACTGTCAACTGTTATTCAGCCAATAGAAAACGAAATTCTTACAATCGGGTCGAATTCTGTTACCTAAATAGACAACCTACTAAAATTGTGTTGCATTTGTAAAATTTTATTTCATTCTTTTTTTTTTTTTTACTCTTTGTGTTTTATCACGGATCAAAAACTCATACCAAAGAAGACAGTTTACTTCGCGAACAAACAACAGCGTGCAACAAAATTTAAATTTAGGTCAAATGGATACCTCTATGTCAATATCGAGTTTGCAGTGAAACACGCATTTAGAATGAAAATAGTCATTGAGCCCCGTCCAGTTAAAGCATTTTTTGCATTCAATGCAATTTAAAGACAAGGTCAACACAGTTTAAAGTTTAGTATTGTAGCTTTGTCATATTTTTACTTTCTTGCATTTTTATGTACTAAGTATTATTCTTTTAATGGAGGGGGCGGTGGTTAATCGTTAAAACTTTCATTCATATTAAAAAGATTTTTTGAAAAAGATCTATTATGTTATACTAAAGAGTTACAATGCAGTAGAGAATTTTTTTTTCCACAAAAAGAGGAATCAGTTAATTAGGATTTGAGAAGCATAAGCAATATTTGTAAATTCTAATACCGTAACGAATATTTTTTTAAAGATCATTTTTAAGAAAACGAGCAAGGTTCATTTTAGCTATAAAATGTCCCTGTCCATATACATATTAATTGACCAAGTCCGAAAGTCCCATTTCAAACATCAATATTTAGTAGAGACTTAGTGCTCTCATTTACTATTAAAAAGTTTCTTCTGAGAGTCCAGGTATTGAAACACAGACTTTATGAAATTGCAATGCTATTGAATTTTGAAAAAAAATTGGTGTATTTGAGCGCTTTCAACAAAGAACAAAAATATGAGCCTACCCCGCGATCAAAAAAAAAAAAAAAAAAAAAAAAAAAAAAAAAAAATTTGGATGATAATCTTCTAAAACAATACTTTCATTATATATTAAACATCTTAGATCAGAGGTAGGGGTCTATGGAAAATATTGAAAAAAAACTGCTTATTTTTGAAAACTTTTGAAGAAATTTTGTTATTTGAGGATAATGACGCAATTCATGAAGTCATAATACAAAAATACTGAGAAAAGTACATCATTTTTAATAGATATACCGTCACCAAGGATCCGAGCAAAATGTAATTTATTTTCAAATAAAACTGAGCACTGTACTATTTACATCATGTCTAGAATTAAATATGGAGATAACGAACAGTATTCAAGCTAAAAAGTCCAGTCAAACAATACAAATCAGGAGAAGAGCAAACACGGACCTCTAAAGCATCAGAGCTGGGATCAGCTGCCATGGAAGAGTTAACATCCACTACCAACCGGTCACACCCGCTTCATGCTCTTTGTCATGATCGGGAAAAACGGAAGACAATTCAGTTCGTCATGATCTGGAAAAAAATTGTAGACAATTCAGTCTGTAAATAATGACCTAACAATTAGTATGAATTAGGTCAGTCAGCATTTGACTTAATGATAGATTATATATTTGCTGACAAGACCATTGTATCGACCATGGAACTTGCGAAAATGATGACTTTAAACGAGACTGCTGATATTCTTGTTTCATCAACTTGTTTGTCAATAGCTTGTCTTGTTATGAAATTGTTCGTACGTAGAGCATGCTCTTGCGTATCGAATCAACTGAGAGATATAAACCCAATATGCAGGTGATGAAGGGAAGTTGACGATTGAAAAGTTTAAGTCATCACGTTTATCATAAAGCTTGGTTGTAAGGTTGCCATTAACGTCTTTATCTAGTAAATATCCAAATATGAAACAGATGTGTCAGACTCTGTGATATCTTTCAATTCAAACTTACTGGGATATATCAAGTCGACATATGAGTAGACATTTGAATGGAAGTATCTATTGCTGATAGATAATACGTCGTCCTTACGTCTTTATGTCTAAATGTTGAGTTGAAGACCAAAGCAAATGCTTTCTTCTTCTCGAGATTTTGAATAAATTCTGTTTCATTTGAATACAAAAATAGGTCTGCTAATAACGGGGCGCAATTGGTACTCATGGGAATTCCGATAGATTGTTGTGAAGACCTGATCTCCAAAACTACATAGATATTCTCAATCAAGAACTTAAGCATCTTTAAAGTGTCAACTTCAGAGTACTTGTTTGTACTTGTTTGTAAAAATTTTGCAAATGATCAATGCCAAGGTAAGTAAATTAACTTGTATTATATTATAATTACGATTTCCAATTGTATTGGGAAAAAAACTAAGCTGCCAATGATGTCAAAAACCCTGATTTTTAAATTTTTAGCTTATAGTGGGGAATGGTTGAATAAAGTGTTGAAAAGTCGTACGTTTTGATGTTATTGATTTTGGTAAATTTTTTGTGATTTCCAATTTTCTGAAAGTTTCTTGGAATTTTTAACTACCCACATTTGATTTACATCACTTCTCGAATAATTTGTTGTTTAGTACTCCTGAAGTTTCTTCTTCCCTGCTGTTATTATTTTAGTGAGGAGTGAAAAAAGAGGCTTGGTAGAACATTAACTGGAACCCGCTATGTATCTTTATTTGTAAGGATTTTTATGAAGCTAAGAAATCCAGTATAGGTATGGTATTTCAAATTCATTTTGATTGTTAGGAAAATTAAAAATATGTAAAACTGACATATGATTTTAAAGAATTTCCTCTTTAGAAACGGAGCTATGGGTATAAGTTGGACTACCACTTGCAGAATTAAATCCCAATTCCTCTAAAATACAATTTAAATAATGAGCCTTACAAACAAAGATTTATCTACTTTGCCCGCTTTCACATCTTTCACATGTTTCATTGTTTTTAGTCCAGTAGTTCTTGAGAAGAATATTTTAAAAGAGTTTTCCTATATATTTCAATGTAAAATTTTGATAATTTATTATTGAAAAATTTCAAATCTACATTAAGTCTGAAAGCTTTCATATAAGTTTCATCTTTTCTTATCCAGTGGTTCTTGGAAAGAAGATTTTTTTAAAAAGAAATTTCTTATAGACTGTATTCTATTGTAAAACATTTCTTCATTGTGGCCCCATCTTACCCCTAGGGATCATGGTTTGAACAATTTAAATTCTGACAAAGCTTCCACATAAGCTTCACAGTTTTTGGCCCAGTGGTTCTTGAGAGGAATTTTTTTAAACGATATTTTTTCTTTTATATTTAAATGTAAAACTATGATTCCCTTTTATGACCCCGTCCTGACCCCGGGTTCATAATTTGAGCAGTTTATAATCTAAACATTTAAAGAACGCTTCCATATAATAGTGATGGGAATCAGTGAGAATTTCATAATCGATGATCGGGCTACTATAACTAACTAATTATCAATTATAATCAGATATTTGTAAAGTCTGTCAGTTTCGTTCATTAAGTGGTAAGAATGGGTCAATAACTACTTTCTGTGGTTGTCCAGATGGTTCTTCGTTCATTTTGTTGAATCCAAAGTACGTCCATACCCGGGAATGAGTGTTGTTACACGGGTATGAATGCAACTGTCTGTTTGACTGCGCCATTATGATGATACACAAATAAGCTTATAAATAAGGCGCGACTGGAATATTCGGCTTAAAAACTATTACGCTTGTAAAATAAAAAAATAACCCGATTAATTGGAATAAAAATGTTGTAATCGAGCACTTGGATTATGCCCTCAATCGACTGATTTTCGATTATAATCGAGGATTGGAACACCACTACCATATAAGTTTCAACTTTTCTGGTCCAGCGGTTCTTAGGATGATTTTTACTGATTTTTCTTATATATTTCAAAGTTAAACTGTGATCCCCAATTGTGGCCCCATCCGAAACTTCGGTCGTGATATGAACAAACTTACATCTACACTTCATCTTCCACATAAGTTTATTATTTTCTGCTGGAATGGTTTTTGAGAAGAAGATTTTAAATGACTCCACTCTATTTTTGCCTTATCTTGATTAAATTCCCTTGGAAGGGGGGGGGGGGCTTGGACCTTTACTTAAACAATTAAGAATTCCCCCTACCCAAAGATGCTTTATGCAACATTTGTTAAAATTGGCCGAGTCGTTCTTGAGAAGAGGTCAAAAATGTGAAAAGATTTCAGACAGACGGAGAGATAGCTAGACAGACGGAAGGACGCCGGACAGCGGGTGATCATGAAAGCTTACTTGAGCTTTCAGCCCAGTAGAGTTAAAAATTAAAGTAACCGAGGAAAAAGTAAGATTAAAAATCAATTCGAAAAGACAACTAAAACTACTAAATATATTTAAAAAAGAAACATTTGAATGGTAATTTGTTGACATTTATATTTTTCAGATATACACTCACAACGCTGTCAGTTCGGAAGATTATTGGTGCTACGAAGCCTTTTTCACCGTGACTTTGAACATTAGTTCGAGAAAAGCATTTTGACTACTGTAGAATGATTATTGTGTGTGTGTGACTTTATTCGTGGATCATAGGATGATTAATTTAAATTCCGCAAACTACAACTTTGTCAACGTTAAGGTCTAGGTTCTTTGAATCTTCTGTATATACATATCAGTATAAGAGTTGTTCACGAAATTATGTTCCAACATTTTGATTGCAAACGTTGTTCCACAAGAATTAAAACGATTCCAAAGTACTTAGACATATTGTGTTCCCATTCCAGTGAAATTTTGTTCTAGCAGACTTGTAATAATTGGAACGCTAATTACGGGATTTCTACAAAGTTATTCAGTACAGTTAAGGACAATCATATACGTCCATCACAATAGGAGATATGAAAATAACATCATCTTAATTAGTTTAACAATCTCATGTTGCAAATTCAACGTAACCATGTCCTTATTTGCAAATACAGCCTGTCGTTTGAATCGCAACTTCTCAGGCCTTTCCGACAAGCGGAAAAATAACATCGAATGCGTTACTTAGGCGCCCATGACAATTCCCCCTTTTCATGAACTTTGAAAGAAATGTAGGGAGACCTCTTATCTGTGAGTATGGGCGTAACTTCATTGAATATAAAAATACTACCTAAAATATACTACAGAAGAGACTTTCAACTGCATCTGTCCAGTATATTAATAAATAAGACAGATAAGACAGAGGGCCCAAGGCAGGTGTGGCTGATCGACAGAGAACGCTTATTTCTCCATGGTTTCCGATTCTCCTCTGGTGTTTCCACAAGTTTGCCCTGCTCTTTATTTGTATCGTTTGATTTGATTTTGAGCTTGATCACTTTTCGTTTTCTCTACATGTCTTGTTTAAGTTACATGTAGATTGCATTGCAATTTGTAAAGATCTCTTTTCCCCTGATAAGTTGAACATATTAGTTATTGGTTACTTTTGGTAAAAAAGAAATACCACAAGTGTCCATAATTACTTATACATAATTATAAAAATAGTTGCTCAATAGTGCTGTAGAACTTTGAAACATATTTTGAGGTTCTATCCAAACAATTACTGATGTTTGACTAAATTTGAATCTCATCTACAATGTAAATGGTTTTACATGTATTTGATAAAGTGTGGTTTTTTACCTGTAGAGCGTTTACGTATTTTATGATAATTCTGCTATAAATCTATGACACCCGATTGTGGTAACACATAGCTCCACAAAATATTGTTGTTTCATAAAAAGTAGGATAGTTTCATTCTTTTAAAGCTGTAAGATATATCATGTATTACGAATACAAAATATAGAAGGTAAACTTCGAATTCAGATTTAAATCATTTAATATTATTTAATGATAAAAATTTAAATGAAATCCTATTAAAATAATGATCATAAATTTATACCATCTTACTCTCCTAACCTTTCTGGAAATCTTTATTTCGATGAAACAAGAGCCCATTGGTCTTAAAGGTCCATAGAATATATTAAGGATCCAAAGAATGGCAATAATTACATTAGAAGATTTTTAAAGAATTTATGCTTTTTATTATATAATCAATAGATCACCTAAACCCCAAAATCGTGAATTTCACAATTTTGGAAGGGACACCTTGCTTCATCATAACCATGCACTTAGTCTTTTTTAATTAATCCTAGGAACAGAGAAGACGATTTCAGAGAAATAATGCATTTTCAATATATGATATATAATACCCTGCTCTAACTCCAGAACACCTGACCTAGCGGCAAGAATTTCACAATTTTGGGTAAGACTTGAGGTCAATATGCTTTTCTGTGAAGCCGATATATCTATGGGTTGACCGAAAGAAAGGGCTACATTTGTTATATTATTTTTTACATTTGAAAATAATGGGAGCAAGCCACAAGTTTTTTTCTTGAGAGAGAGAGAGAGAGAGAGAGAGAGAGAGAGAGAGAGCACTAATTTAAAAGGCAACATCTGTGGTATTATTTTATATCAATTTATGAAAAACATTTCTAATATCTTTCAATGAAAAAGTATTACATCTTACCATTTATTAAAGAACATCACAATTATAAATAGGAGTTTCAGTTAATTTATTTTTCAGAAACATCAAGTCATATTAGCTACTGTGAAGTCATCGCTATTGTTGTTTATAAAAGATTATTTCCATTTTTAGAAACATCAAGCCGATGTGCATTTCAGAATCTATAAATAGTAACACGTCTATATGATGTTATATACTTGATCATATGATCAAGTTTGAGCCAATCAGAGAGCTTGGAATAATAGAATATATATATATATATATATATATATATATATATATATATATATATATATATATATATATATATATATATATATATATATATATATATATAGAAGAAATGTTCAAACGTATGCAACCGACGCAAGACAGAAAATGCATGTCGTACGACGACGGAAGTCAGATAGTAATTGACTGTGGTGACCTACTAAAAATGTTATTTCCATTGAATAAAATCTCAAAGTTTACATGGTTTGCCCTAAAATTTAAATAAAAAGTACAAGTTAGATGTATATGTAAAAAAATATCACAGTCATCCACCACACTGTATATTTGTCATGTTTATATTTAAAGTTATATCAGATGCAGATTGATAAAAAACAAAAAGATATCAACGGGCAGGATATATGGGTTTGTCCTCTGGGATGGTAGATAATTCTGTACTTAAACCTCCCTTTTGGGAATGTTGAGTATCATTCGACGTCCTGATGCTAGAAAAGATATTCAAATCACCAAACCTGTTAATTAAAATAACAAAAAAATCATTGAAATCTCATAATCATAGTAATTCATAGTATAAAATAGAAATTATGAACAGTATAATCCAGAATTGTTTATGAAGTATCTTAAAATGACCATTAGTTTTTTTTTTTTGTTTTTGTTTTTGTTTTTTTTTTAAGGAAATCAACAAGTTTGGTTTTGCTGAAGTACACAAGATTGCCTAACTTAAAAATGTAATTTACCAACTTCTTTTGTAGAATTGTTACTGTGTTTAAAAGTTTCCAATTCACATCTCTCTCTCTCTCTCTCTCTCTCTCTCTCTCTCTATATATATATATATATAGAAAGCACTACAAAAACCAACAACACTGTATATCCTAAGTGTCGGATCTACTAAATAGATACAAGGTCAAGGTCGGAAATTCATATAAAGCACACAAGATTGCCTAACTTAAAAATGTGCTTTATATATATATATATATATATATATATATATATATATATATATATATATAATTAAATATATGTCAGAATTTCAGAAATATTTCAAAATATATTTAATGGTGTAAGTGACTGGGACAGGCAGGTACATACACCCTCCTTTTTATCTAACTGCTTTTTAATAAGAAAAGTAGTTACTAGTTAAACACTACATACCTACGTTTCTTCATCATAAACAGGAATAGGATTACAAAAAAGATAAAGATACAGAGAAGTGCTCCTCCAACTCCAATGTAAACAGGAACATTTGATGATGTGTTTTCAGTGTTTGTCGGAATCAAGGTGAAAGGTGTTGATGTGCTGCTGTTGGTTCGTAGATCTGTAATATTTGTCGGAATCAAGGTGAAAGGTGTTGATGTGCTATTGGTTTGTAGATCTGTAACTGTGTAGTCATGTCGTAAACATGATACATCTCCAAAGGGTTCCCACTGTCCATTCTTGCATACAATATTTTGTGTCCTACCAGACACATTATACCCATCTCTGCAAACAAAGATTGCAGACGAGTTTTCTAAATTCCCATTGGTTGATTTCCATACACCTCCAGCAACAGTTGGTAAATCATCGCAAGTTATTACTGTAATGGAAATGTGTAGTGATTTTTGAAACATAATCATTAATAATTTAAGCAGGTGAACTGATTTAATTTCAGAATATTATTTAATTTTTATGTAATAATATATCTAATTCATTCACCTATCACAGCTGCCTGTTGAGATTCTTGAAACTGTGTCTGGAACGTCCGGGATTGCTCCGCTACGTCACGTGATCCCGTGACAGAATAATCAAAGATGCAGTCCTTGTCCTCTCCACAAACCGCCCTAACCTCCTCTGTAACCGATACGGAGGATTCAAACACAGGCCGAAATAATGGCTGATGATAATCAGCAAAACTCTTACCAGGTTCATACGTGAACATAGATTCTGTCTCATTGATGGCCCCTACAAAATGATGGAACTTCATATTGTAAAAAAAAAAAATTCACTTGAAACAAAATCGATTCTAAATACAATTATTAAATTTGTGACATGATGATTCCATGGGGTTCTTAGATAAATCTTTCAAAGTATAAAAGTTCTGATCTGGAATTGAACAAAGTTTTCATTCTGTCAATTTCAAAATGGCATGAACATGATACATATTTTGTGATCGCCCTGAAGTGTGTACAATTATTGCTTTCCTTAAAACTCTAGGATGAATTTTATGTTTTTAATTCTGCTGATAAATAAGCTGTTACTCTTCTATCGTGTATTCACAGTCACAGTGCCTTAGGTGACAGTTTCTATAACAAAACAAGAAGTGTTTGTGAAACACTGATGCCCCCGTATGGCAACTTATAGCGGAGGTTAAACTTTCTCAGATGAAAATCAAATATATTGGTACCCAAAGTAAGGTCTTGTCCTCAGGAATATACCTGTGAAATACGAAAGTCCTATCACCAACCATTGAAAAGATATGGAAAAGGTTAAAGTTTTGCAAAAGTATCTCAAACTCCAAGATCAAAGGGTCAAAGTTATTGGTATCTAAAGGAAAGTCTTGTCACAAGGATTACATATGAAGAATGAAAGCCCTAGCACCAACTGTTCAAAAGTTATGGCCAAGGTTAAGGTTTTTCAGAAGTAGGTCAAACTCCAAGGTCAAGGTCAAAGGGTCAAAATCGTTGGTATCCAAAGGAAGGCCTTGTCACAAGGATTACATATGTGAAGAATGAAAGCCATAGCACCAACTGATCAAAAGTTATGGCCAATGTTAAAGTTTCCAAAAGTAGGTCAAACTCCAAGGTCAGGGCAAAGGGTCAAAGTTGTTTGTATCCAAAGGAAGGTCTTGTCACAAGAATTACATATGTGAAGTATGAAAGCCCTTGCACCAACCGTATAAAAGTTATGGCCAAGGTTTAAAGTTTTTCACAGGTAGGTCAAACTCCTAGGTCAAGGTCAAAGGTCAAAGTTGTTAGTATCTAATGAAAGTTCATGTCACAAGGACTACACGTGTGAAGTATGAAAACCCTAGCACCAACTGTTCAAAAGTTATGGTCAAGGTTAAAGTTGGGTAAAATTTTGTAAAACTGGGTCAAACTCCAATGTCTAGGTCAAAAGGTCAAATATGATACCCAAAGAAAGGTCTTGTCTCAAGGAATACACATCTGAAATATGAAAGCTATAGCTCCAATCAAAAGTTATGAGCAATGTTAAAATTTTTGCGGACAAACAGATAGACAGACAAACAGACAGACAGACGGACGGACAGGGCAGAAACTATATGCCCCGAATCTTCGATACAGGGGCATAAAAATAAATGAGAATATTGTAGGAGTCTGACTTTTGTTCCTGTTGTGTGATCCCCCAAACTGACACAGAAAAATAATGTCAATGGAATATCGGCAAAGAGTTTTTATGACTGTGATACTACAGGGATACAAAACCTAATACCTTAGGTCCTCATACTCAAATTTATTAAAGGCAATTTTGTCCATAGCTTAAGGAAGGAATCAGAGCGTGGAAGTCCTAACCTAGACTAACCAAAAAGTGAAGGAACCGACTTCCCAAAATAATCTGACAAAAAAACCTAATTATTTGTTCAAGCCTGGAATTTGCCAGTGCAAGACATTACAGTATCAATAAGGGGGGGGGGGGTCGATATAAAGGAAAATTTATTACAGCAAGATACTATACTCAGAAAAAGTGGGGGGGGGGGCGCCCCCTCTCCCTCGTTTTACGGACATGAACCGAATAAAGGCAAAGCCAGAACGTTTTGATTTTTTTTCAGCAACCATATTCTATCAATTATTTTCAATATTTCCCTCTTTTGAAGATTGACTACATGTAGTAGTCACTTTATCTTTAATATGAAAGATAATACTCCCTAGTTACACTCTGTAAAAAGATACAGTTTGAAAAATGACCACGGATTGTTATAAATACTTTAATTCAATAAATGTTTGTACAAACATACACGACATTCCAAACCGATTATATATTTCCACATCGCTTGCATTTGGTGATAAGTATTGGTCATCCGATGAAAGCAAATCATTTGATGGGTTTTCATCGTAATTTCCAAGAAGTCCTTTTAATTTTCCTTTAAATGAACAATACAAATTATAAATCAAGAGGCCCTTGGGCCACAACGCTCACCTGAATAACTATGGCCCTTCTGTTATTTATCAGCAGATTTTCCCCCAATATATATGTAACTATGTACTATGTAAAATTACAATAATATATTATGGCCCCGTCCTACTTTCAGCGACACCCTACCCATTGTGTCATATCTTGACAAATTTAACTCTTAAATCTTTTGGTAAATTCAGCAAATAATTTTCGAAACCAAAGTTTGTTTGTTTGTTTTAAAAAATTCTATAATTCACTTCAACCTACACCAGTTAATATCCGTTATCGCCTGTGGCGGTGTGCATGTATATACAGCAATTACCATTCCCAATCACTGTACACAGCTGTTCTCACCTCTTGTGACCCTAATTTTGGATGGCTTTTGATAATTTGTTTTCAATGAATATTATTTAATAATGATCTATAAATTTTCATTATATTTATTAATTGGCATACGGTAACGTACATAGAAATTCCTCTACCAATTCAAAAGTGAAGAAATATTTAAAAATAAACGAAGCTTTAAAAAAGTGTTAAAAGTCAGCTGAAACTAGTTTTAATTGTAACGGTGACCGTTACAGATGTTCCCCAAACGCTCCCCAACTCCCTTTTGGTGCCTTATTCCCTGTAAGATTCATTCTATCAAGTATAATAGTCTTTTCACTAACTTTAAATGCGCGCATGTGTACGCATGTGTATGCATACCATGTCATTTTGTCTACACTATTTATATATCTTTATATTCTAAGTATCAAAGCATTTTAAAAAAAAGTAGAAAAATTATGGCTATACCAAATGTATTGATTGTTTTATGAATTACACACGTGCAAGTGCATGCATGCACATGAAAACCATGTCATCTTGTTTACACTATTAATATACCTTTATATTCTCAGTATCAAGGATTTCACAAAAAAAAACATAAAAGCTACAGTAATATAAAGAATATTAGTCATTTAACGAATTGCACGCGCGCGCACATGCATGCATGTGCATGGTGATCACGTTGTGTTTTTAAACTATAAGCATATCTTTATATTCCCTTTATCAAAAAATTTCATACAAAAGTAAAAGTTACGGATATATAATGTAATTTGGTCATTTTACTAATTGCATGCGCGCACACGTGCATGCATGTGCATGTTGACCATGTCACTATTAAAATGTCTTTATGTTCTGGGCTTCAAACCATTTCATCAGAAAATATAAAAATTACAGCTATATCAAGTATATTGGTTATTTTACACATTACACGCACGTGCACGTGCATGCATGTGCATGAAGAGCATGTCACCTTGTCTACACTTTTAATATACTCTCAAATTCTCAGCATGAAAGCATTTCATCAAAAAATATTAAAAAAAAAAAAATCGGCTATATTTATTATATTGGTTATTTTATGCATTGCGCGTGCGCGCACGTGCTTGCATGTGCATGCTGACCATGTCATCTTGTCTACACTTATAATACGTCTATATATTCTGAGTATCAAGGCATTTCATCAAAAGGTATGAAAGTTATGGCTATATCAAGTATATTGGTCATTTTACTCATTGCACGCGCACGCACGTGAATGCACGTGCGTGCAAAATGCCGTTCCGGAAATCTACATAACATACCTATTAACCCTAAAAAGGCTTTAGGTAATTCGGATGAGTAGTTTCCGAGATCACTCACGGACAAAAAAGTACCCAGGAAGAAGAAAAATAATAATAATAGTAAGAAACAGAATAAAAACAATATGTTCCCAAACTTCGTTTGGGGAACATAATTAGCGTATACTACGTAGAACTATGATCGCCCATATTGGCTCCTCCCTACCCCTGAGGGTCATAATTTGAATAAACTTGAATCTACACCACCCAAGAAAGCTTTCAAGAAAACTATTAAAGTTGAGAGAACCTTAAATTGAGACCATTCCAGAATAAAAAAAAAAAGAAGAATAAACGTTTCCTAAAAATAAAAAAAACAAAAACAAAAAAAACGATTTTAAGCCAGTCGGTTACGAGAGGGCAAATAAACATTATTTAAAATATAGTCTAAGTTTCATCTTATCTGCCCAGTGGTTCTTGAGAGGTGTAAAAGGTAGATAACGAACAGTGGTCGATCTCAATACGACAATGTGAAGAGGTCATAAAACACGGATCTCTGAAAATTCGAGAGGTGGGATCAAATGCCTAGTAGGAATGAAGATCCCCTGTTGACCGGTCACACCCGCTGTGAGCCCTATGTATTGATCCGGTAGATAGAACTATCGATAGTCAATTCAGTACAAAAACAAAGGCCTAACAAATGGTATGAAACAAGCGCCAAATTACGACACAATGATAGGTTGTATTTACTAACAAGGTCATTATAACGACCAAAAAATTTACAAAATGCTGACTATAAACAAGGCTGTTGAAATCCCTCTAACATCAACTTATCATTGAGTAACCTGCCTCGTTTTAAAAATTGATCGTACTCAGAGCAAGCTTTTGAGTAGCGAACAAGTTGGGAGATATAAACATCATAACCAGGTGTGATAAAATAAACACTACAAAAATAAGGAAAGTTGACGATGGAAAAGCTAATGTCATCTCGTCTGTCATACAACTTAGCTGATAATTAGCCTTTATCGTCTATAGTCAGTAAAATATCTAAATATGAAACAGATGTGGCAGACTCTGTGGTGTTTTTTATTTCAATTTCACTGTGAAAATCGAGTCGACATACGAATGAAAATAACATTTTTATTGACAAAACATCGTCGATATATCTGAATGTCGAATTGAAGGCTACAGCTAGTATTTTCCTCTTCTCGTGTAGAGGTTTTTGAATAAATTCTGCTTCATAGGAATATAAAAACAGGTCAGCTAATATATGAACAAAATTAGTGCCTAACAGTTTGCTACATAAATGTTGCCAATTTTCACTATTTTTTAATTATCTCCCCTTAAAAGAAGGTTCGACCCTTCATTTGAACAAACTTGAACCCCCTTTACCCATACTCTGTGTAAAGTTTGGTTGAAAATGGCCCAATGGTTCTGGAGAAGACGACGAGAATGTAAAAAGTTTACAACGACACCGGCGACAACAGACAATGGACAAATTTCGATCAGAAAAAGCTCAATTGAAACTTCAGCTCAGTTGAGTTAAAAAAGATAAATTCAATATTTAATAATCTAGAACCATTTCAATTTCTTATTTTATTGATATACAATTTTCATGTCCAAAGGAATAAATATAAAAAAAAAATATGTTTACAAGGAAGGAAAATTAGATCCAACAAAGATAAACTTCAACTTAAGTTATTATGTGAACATTTCAATTAATAGACAATTACCTTTGACTTCGTCCCCATGAACAATCGGGATAACATTCATTATTTTCTTCGAGGCTTTGATATTAAAAGCTATTTTTATATTTTTGAACATTACCATCAGTGACACCTCTGAACTATTGCCATCTGCCGGAAGCAATAGGATGGTTACACCTAAAATCAATTGCATAATAAGTATACGACTGTTTTAACATTTACATGGCGTAAAAAAATAATTGGAATTGTTTTATTAGAATACCTTCCAAATCCATCCACCTGGAATCCCCAAACCCAAGAAGTTCAGAATTTCTGAGAACATCAACCGTTCTGATTGAGTTAAGGCGAAACTCTAATCGACCGGAGCTATTTGCATACTCCATCACAACGGCTGTTGCTACAGTTGCAGGAACAATCGTTCCTTTTAAGAAGTAAAATATTTCAATCATAAAGATATCTTGACAACTCATTTTACATCTTAACAATAATGCTCAACTTATATGAATTATGAAATTATACCATCGTCTTTTCGGAACTGTTCGAATCGGATTTGACTTCTGAATAATTCATCCTCTGTGTATATATACACGAATTCTCCAGCGCCATTAAATGTATAACTGAACCCGTCTAGAGTAGTCATGTGTGGGTCACCGCTTGTCCGTGCTGAAACATAATGGGTAACTAATTACAAAGCATCAGTTGTATTTCATACCATAAATAAAATATGTTGGATTTGGAAAACACCATTGTAGTTGTGGCATGTTATTTCTCCATGAAAAGATTGAAACGATATACATTTAATTATAATTTATATTTGATTATTAACAAGATCATACATTCTATGTTTTAATAATTACTACCTAGCCTTGGAGGTTCATAATTTTGACAAGAGCTGTAATTCCTTAATTTAAGATATTTTTGGCAGAGACTGTACGTATCTCCGTTTTCAGAGGCTTCTTTCGTGGACGTCTGTGAAAATCGGCAACACTGCATAAACGGCATGACATCATGGTAAAAGTTATTAACATATGGAACACCCTCAGAATAGTGATATCGCTGCCGCGTGCCTCCTTCTTGGAGCCTTGAGTCTATTAAATTACCCTCCGCATTATAACAGCAAACGTTGTCACTTATGCTTTAAAACAAATGAATAAAGAATTGAACACTCTTAAATATAGGTTTAATTTTGATATGTGAAAGCTTTTATTCAAAATGTGATTAAATAATTGCGGCTAATTTATCCAAAAGTAGTCATACATGTCAATATCATAATATTTAAAAAATCCCTCAGCAATTTTATGCTAAAATGCATTCTTACGCAAGAATTGTACCATTCCCAGGTTATATAACACATATGCTACTATATCTACCTCTTTAAAAATGGGTAAAGAATAAAAAATACTTGGAACAAGTTATACTCATATGGACAGGAGAACAATTAGATTATCAAGAAGAATCAAAAGGGTGGTGCCTAGATATGAATATTTTTTAAGGTAAATACCTTGGTGTTGGAAGTCTTACACAATGTTGTGCGTCACGCCTATAACGACAGTTGCCTTTCCCCCGAGAACCCATGTGGAACATGTTGCAGTCAGGATCAGGCTGATATTTTACAATGTCTAACAGCGCCTGTTGGAGAGTACAAGGACAGGGCTCACTAGCATTTAGTACTGGAGAGGAACTTTCTGATTCGAGCCATTTTTCACAAATCTGCCTGGCTTCTTCTCTAGATTGGGATACCAAGAAAACATCAGACCAAATTCCAGGAACTGGCCTACATAAAAAAAATACCATTCATTTATTCACGATTAAGATGATTCAATGGGTCTTTTCTATGCATCAAATATGTATGTATTGGTTTCACTAACATTAAAAGAAATCTAGAATAAAGTTTAAAACTTACATTTTACTCCTTTTCACACGTGACTTAACTTGAAGTAAGGCAACTTGTTGCGTGACGTTGAAATTAAAGTTTGTCGAACCAATAGAATTGGAAATATTTCTTACTATGTTTAAGCGTTCAAAGTTCAATTTCCCACTGTTTTCCTAAAATAAAAAAGGTCCGTAAAACGTTATTCGCTTATTACTGAGGTAATTTAGTATAAAAACACGACAATGTGTTTTTTTCATTATTAAGTTGATAAAAAGAATAGAATATCACACCAATACACTGTATCTCTCCGAGACTCCAGTATCAGCCTGAGGGTCGAAGGACAGGGGGTCTGATATTTGTCGAAGATTGTCAGCATCTCGTAAATTTTATGGTCGTTATAATGACATTGTTAGCAAATATAACCTATCATTGGGTCGTATTTTGGCTGACTTGTTTCAAACCAATTGTTAGGCCTTGTTTTTGTACTGAATAGACTATGGAAAGTACCGTCAACCTGATCAATACATAGGATATTGTTGTAAATAATTCATATTCTTCTGCTTTAAATCATTAATTTAACTCGCTACTATGCATCGACTTTGTTTTGTTGAAAAACGGAACGTTACAATATTGCCGTTGTTAATGCAATGAAATAAATATCTCAAAGTTGTTGTTAAAATGTCGAACATTGTAGTTAAATATATTTGTTATCTCCGACTCGTACCAAATTATTTCCGGGAAGTCATTTACGCTTTAGCATGCTTATACTTGTGGGTACAATGAGAGCCCTAAATTACTTACCTTAAAAGTGCCAAAATTAAGGGAACGCCGATCTTTCAACTGGCGTCAGAATTCATGATTTGTATAATGAGTTATGTGGAAGATTATGCCAAACGATGGGCTAGACACCTTGACACTTAAAAATATCAGATGAATCTCGCGTTGAGCAATTAAGGGGCAATATGAAAACCATCTATCCTTCTGTCTTCATTGATTCAGATGAGTGAAAAATTCTCGAATGGGACGTAAAACAACATACAATCAATCAATCAATCATTAATTCAGAAGTGGAAAAGAAATTTAATAGATAACACGACCTTTATGTACTGGTCCCAGCTGATAGAGCAGGTAACAACATTGTCTTTGTTTGTAGGGTTCATTATTATTTAAATTGTATTTTAGAGGAACTGGGATTTAATTCTGCACGTGGAAGACCAACCTATACTCATAGCTATGGTTCTAAGGAGGAAATTCTTTAAAATCATAAGTCAGTTTTAAATATTTTTAATATTCTAAACAATCAAAATGAATTTGAATAAACATACCTATACCGGATTCCTATACGTCATAAATATCCTTACAAAGAAATATAAATAGCTGGTTACAGTAAATGTTTTATCTAGCCTCTTTCTTTACTCCTCACTAAAATATTAACAGCAGTGAAGGAGAAGCTTCAGGAATACTGTACAATATATTCAAAAAGTGGCGTAAATCAGATGTGCATACTTAAAAACTCCAAGGAACGTTTAGAAAATTTGAAATCACTAAATTTTACTAATATCAATGACATAAAAACTTACGACTTTTCAACACTTTATACAACTTTTCTCCACGATAAAATTAAAGTCCAGGAATTTTTTTTGACACCATAGGCAGCTGCTTTTCTTACATAAAAATGGAATTCGTAAATTTATTTATCTTGTCATTGGTCATTTGCAAAATTATTTTGTTAAAAAAACCACTCTGATTGTACACACAAGTACTCTGATGTAGATATTAAAAACATGCTTGAGTTTCTGATGTCAATTTTATATCTATGAGGTTTTTTGAGAGTAGGTCTTCCATCAACGTGTCGGAATCCCCATGGGTACCAACTGCGTCCCACTATAAGGAGATCTATTTTTGTATTCATATGAAGCAGAATATATTCGAAAACTTATATTTAAGAAGAAGATACTGGCTGTGGCTTTCAACCCAACATTTAGTTATGTCGATTATTATCAATTAATAATAGTAACGTCAATTTAGATGTCGACTCGACATATTCCTGTGAACTTGAAATAAAAGATACCACAGGGTCTGACACATCTGTTTCATATTTGGCTTTGTTACTAGAAAAAGACGTTAATGGTAACCTAACAAACCCCCCCCCCCAAAAAAAAAAAAAACACAAAAAAAAAAACAAAAAAAAAACCACTTGGTGATAAACGTGATGAATTCAACTTTTCTGTCGTCAACTTCCCTTACTTATGTAGCAATATATCTTTGTCGCCTGCATATGTCTCCCAATTGACTCGATACGCAAGAGCATGTTACACGTACGAATAATTTCTAAAATGAGGCAAGCTATTGAAAAACAAGTTGATGAAACAAGGATATCAGCAATTTGTTTAAAGTCATCATTTTCCAAGTTCTATGGTCGATACAATGACCAATGACTTTGCAAATTCAATCTATCACTATCTGGCACCTGATCCCACCTCTAATGTTTTTGGAGGTCCGTGCTTGCTCTGCTCCCGATATGTATTGTCTAAATGAACTTTTAACTTTAATATTGTTCATTATTATTCATTATCTTCTTATTTCATAGTACAATGCCTCAGTGACAGTCCTTGGCGGAAGTGGTGCCATTCTGAGCGAAAGCGCCTTCGCGAACCAGCAAGCTCCAGTCAGAACCAGAGAACCATTCCATAGTATTATGATATCGACTTCAGTTCTAAATTTTTATTTCAACAAATAAGAGATTTCAAAAAAATCGATGTAAATTCATAATAAATGTGGTAAATATATCAAAAGTTGCTTATTTCTGACAACAGGCACGGCACACCTGTGACTGTCTTATGTGGATAACATCTATGTCAAAAGTTGCTTATTTCTGACAAGAGGCACGGCACACCTGTGACTGTCTTATGTGGATAACATCTATGTCAAAAGTTGCTTATTTCTGACAACAGGCACGGCACACCTGTGACTGTCTTATGTGGATAACATCTATGTCAAAAGTTGCTTATTTCTGACAACAGGCACGGCACACCTGTGACTGTCTTATGTGGATAACATCTATGTCAAAAGTTGCTTATTTCTGACAACAGGCACGGCACACCTGTGACTGTCTTATGTGGATAACATGTATGTCGTTATGAGTCTTCATTATATGCTCATAATAATATTCTGATATGTTGACATTACATGCTGATAATTTAACATTATATGCTGATACCAGTTATATTCTTATATGCTGTTACTTCTTTGCTGTATGCTGATACTTTTACAACATATGTTGGTACTTTAAATTATATGCTTATACTTCTTCATTATGTAATAATGCTTTAACGTTATATGCTGATATTTTGATAAAATATAAAATGTATAAAATGATAAAATGATAATATGATTTTTTTTAACACTACAGAATCAACAAGACGAAAAACTGGTTTCTGTAAATAGATTCTTTGTGTAAGCAGTGCTTTCTATTATTATCAACATTGATAATAATTATAATATCCATTTAATTCGTGGATGAGAGCAGTATTTTTACAAGTGCATGTACTGTGAAATCACTAATTTTTTTTGTGTTGGAAGGGGTTATTTTCGTTGTTTTCGAGATAGAAAGAGACGAAATGTAAAATGTATACTTAACTACTCAACAAGTCTTCACCCACGAAATCAAATCCCCACAAACCAAAAGTTTTTCCTCAAACCACGAAAATCTGACTTCACGAAAATGTGTGATTTTACAATACATTACATAAAATTTAGGCCATAGAAAGCAACTTCAGATGGGGGCTGGGGGCATAGCAATAGTACATATGGGTATATGGGTAAAATTATTGGGAGGGGCCTGGAACACCCCATTTCCTGTTTCTTCGGGCCTGCCATTCATATTACATGCACATAGCTCTAATTCCGGCATTTTGTCCATGTTGAATTTGGTCTCATATGTCTTATATACGTTTCTGTCGATAGAGATTGGAGGGGGGTGTTAATCACTTATTGCCTGTTTCTGTTTAAATTAAAACAGGGAAATTAAATTCTGAAAGGGAAATTGTTGGCCTCGAAATGGAAACCAAAAAATTCATATACAAGGGTCGTCCATAAAGTTCGTGGGCAATAGCGATTTTGTCAAACTCAATAGTTCTAGATATACGTATTGTATACTAAAATATTTGTTATGAAAATTCAAGTCAGGATAGTTTGGTTTTGGTTGTTTAAGCTATATATTTTTGTAAAAATCGCGGTCATTAAAGGTCGCAGATAATGTGCACGGCCCAGGGTTGAAATGTCCTTAACTTTGAAATAAAGTTTTCAAATTAAAATGAATTTTCAAAAAACAAGCCAAAACAATAGAATTTAAAGGTGTCTCAAATAAAGCGGTTGTCGTCATTTTCTGATATCTAAAGCATCGCTTATTGTACACAGAGTGAAAATATTAAGAATAAACAGCAAGAAATATGTCTCATAAATTGACAGAACGACGTTGACCATCCGAATTGATCAGATCCAATCATAACATTATGATTTAATATGGTTCAAACAACGTCAGAGTCTAATTATTCAATTATTGGAAATTATTGGCTTATATTTAGTTCATTAATTTTAAATTGGTAAATATGATTGTTAAGGGTATGTACAATTTGAGAGACATTGCAAGAAGTGGAAAAAATACTGTTATTTGATGAAATTAGGATATCCCTATGACGTTGTTATAAATCTAACACACTGGACTATGCAGTCTGTATATGCTAAGTGTTTATACTAATGAAACTCGTGTATTATCGAATGAAATATGGAGATAACGAACCGTATTCAAGGCTAAAGTCCATAAAAACTGTACAAATCGGGAGCAGATTGTTTTGATTTTAAAAAGGATGCATTCGGAATTTCAAAAGATTTGATCTATAGGAAAGACAATTTTCCCGGAAAAAGTAGTATTTAAAAATCAATGCTCTTTTTTACCGTATATTTGTCTAAATTTTTCAAATGCGAATTTTAAGCTAAAAATTTATCATTTGTAACTTTGACATTAACCTCCAAATTTGGCCAAAGGAGCATTTTGTTGGTTGCACTGATTATTGCGAGAATTTTTATCTTGAAGTCCTTTAGGGCAGACCTGCCCCTAAATACAATTGATATTTGGATAGGTTATGATCAAAGAAATAATTTCATATAGGATTTTTTAGGGGCAGATCTACCTTAGGGTCGAAACTCACAAAAAACCTTCTTTGGGACAACTAAGAGCTTAACTGGTATAACTGCTGAGTATTACCACAGAGGGTATTTTTTGGAGTCGTGGATAAAATTTATCTGGTGCCACACTTTTAATTTTCGCCTTTTCAAAGACTATTTTATTTTTATTTATAGGCTTTGGTGTATTTCCCTGCAATTATCTATCTTTTATGCATGTTCATTCTTGATATAAAAGACACTAAAGCGAGAGCAAATTGTAAATTTCATTGTAGCTACAACACAGTCAAGCGAAACTATACCTCAAAATAGCACACTTTCTTTAGGTATTCTCGCCTGAAATGAACTGCGATGGATTTCTATTGCATATATTCCTTAGAATTTAACCCCTTTGCATTTACTCCGTCTGCATTACTAGAACCTGCCAGCACCTAGATGTACTGTGGTCGGTTTATACGGTCTCATCCGTCCCCACGTCACACAGTGGAGTCGAAAGCGCGACGTAAGGATCAACTCCTTACTCGGCGATCCAAGAGCAAACGCTCTTACCACTGCGCCATGCGGGGTTCGAAATGTACAGTTAAGGTTTTATTTTGTAATAAACTATAATGTACTCGTAAATACCATTTTGAAGACAAAAGAATATTTTCAACTTATTTTCAAGGTCATTCGGTAGAGTGCTCCTTCTCTGATCGGAAGGTCGCAGTTTCGAACCCGGCCACACGAATGACCTAAGTCAATATTTCAAAATTAAACGAAAGTCTTCCTTCCCAAAAAATCAAAATTGGAAAATATATTGTAGCGAACATATATAGGGAACTTATACTGTCTCGCTAGTAGGCTGGCTTTCTAGTGATGCGGTAGAGTCTCCCTCTATTTCAGGCAAGATAAGCAACGACGAGCCTGTATAACCCATGGATGGGTGACCACTTCATGTTACAAAATTGGTGGCAGCGTTGGGATTCTGGTGTCTGGCGGTCTGCTTCAGGAAGTCTTAGAGATGGACTTAGTGTCCATTTACAGACTTAGTGGCTTTGGACGGCAGAGGTTGTCGTAACTGAAGAGGTTCAAGGCCTGCTTCAGGAAGCTCTAAGATATGACTTTGTGTCCATGTACGGATTAAGTGTCCGTGGACGGCATAGGTCGTAATTGAAGAGGCTCAGACACTTAAAGAGAACCCATGCTAAGTTTCCCTTAGCGCGGGGAAGTGTAGCGAACAGTAAATAGGGAACTTATACTGCCTCGCTAGTGAGCTAGCTTTTCTAGTAATGCGGTAGAGTCTCCCTCTATTTCAGGCAGTTAATCAACGGCGAGCCTGTATAACCCTTGAATGGTTGACCGCTTCACATTACGATATTTTTTCAAGGCTAAAATGAACCATAGATTTTCAGTTTATTTTCCGCAAATTTTTTCCTTCTTAAGATACTACTTCGAAATTACTAGAAGTGTATTTGTGTCTTAAATTGTGAAAAAATGAAATAAGTCAAGCGAATACAGAAGCAGGGCTATTCTTACTTTTTTGAAAATCTTGAATGTTTTGTCTGTCATAATAATGTCCAAATATTACAATAGAATGTTATTAAAGTATCAACGTATAATGAAGTATCAGCATATAATGAAGAAGTAACAACATATAATGATGAACATCATTACACCATGAAAATAATACACCTAGAGGCAGTTGAGGCGTTCCATTCAAACAGATCAAACTTAAATTCGTACTTTTTGTTTACCTAAACCATTGCTTTTTGGGTGGTCTGTTACCCAAGGTAAGGGTAACAGTAGATAATAGAATTTTGAGTTATCAAAACAACAAACAAACAAAAATACACAATAAAAAAAACAGACAAAACAAAACAAAAAACAAACAAAAACACACAAACAAAAACAAAAAAATGGTTGTCAATGGGGATCGGTGACAGTTTATTTCATTTTCATTAAGTAATGACCAATTCGGGTGCTTGAAGTGTTATGAAAAATAAATGACAAACATTCTGTTATAATAAGAAGTAAATATGAAAGAAATATTCAATTAAAAACTTTTAACAAAACACTTTCCTTTACAAAGCCAGATATCGAAATTTCAAAAAAATATGTACAGTATATACAGTTTTATACTCTACCTTCAGTGTGTGTACTTCCAGGTCCACCGTACTGCTATTTTCTAGTTCTGGTACATTATTTTTCCACGATATTGACTGTGTTCCATTTTTCCAATTATCCGGATTATCCCGAATTACAAAAACTTTGCAGAAGACTGGGTTCACTGAATGAAAAATATGAAGATAATAGTATTCAATTAAAAATCGTCTAAACAATACAAACTGTGAATAGGGCAAAACTACGGACCCCTGAAAACACCAGAGGTAGGATTATGCGCCTAGGATGTGTATGCACCCCCTGCTGATTCGTCACTCCCGCTTTGAGCTCTATGTATTGATCATTTATACGAATTTATATTTATTTGGAAATTGTAGATGATATTAACCAAAAGTAGATTTATATAATTTTATGATTCAAAGACATTGTAGTCGCTCAAATGTTTTACTTACATAAGCACATGCAGGCTATCATTGAGTCAAATGCTGACTGATGATAGGCTGCATGCTAATTGTTAGGCCATTATTTATACACTGAACTATCTATGGATTTTTCCGGTTTTTTCCCCGATCATGACAAATATCACACGGCGGATGTGATCGATCGACAGAAGATGGTCACTCATCCATGGCACCTGATACCAATTCTAAATTTTGAGGTCCGTGTTTGCTCTGCTCCAAATCTGTATCGTTTTATTGGACTTTCGAGATTGAATACTGTTCATTATCTTCATATTGCATTCATATCGTTATATCCTAGAAAATGATCGCAGTCATGATTAAAATTTACTATCAAAACAAGCTATATTTTTTATTTGTTTTTCAATGAATTAATACCGTCACGGTTGCTCAGTTTGTAGAGCGCCCTCTCCGTGATCGGAAAGTCGTGTGTTTCACGACTGGGACTGACTTAAGTTCGATACAAATAGGTAGCAACTATTTCTTCGCCAAGCGCTCGGCACTTTGAAGTGAAAGTTGCGGGTCTTTCCGATGAGACCCTAGAAACCGAGGCCCAATGTCACGGTAGCCTTTGACATGATAAAGAACCCTCACTGCTCAATGGCCCTGAGTGCCGAGTAAAGGTCTAAATTTGAAGCCCTTCACCGGTATATGGTGACGTCTCTATATGAGTGAAAAATTCTAGAACGGGATGTTAAACAACATATAATCTATCAATGAGTTTAAAATGTAATCAAACTACAAAAATAAAAAAAAATCAAAATGTCATTTTTCAAAATGGTTAAAGAATTAAAAAAAATAATTTAAGAAAATCTACGAAAATATAAAGCACGTTTGTCTACAAAAAATGTCTCTTTAGATTCAGAAATATAATTTTTTTGCGACATTTTATCATTTAACAATATTAAGTTTCATTCCAATGTTGATTCGATATATCCCTTTGAACGCGAAATCAAAGACACCACAGAGTCTGACACAAATGTTTCATATTTGGATGTTTTAAGAGAGAAAGACATTGATGGCAAACTGATAACTAAACGTTAAGATAAACGTGACGACTTTAACTTTTCTATCGTCAAATTCCTTTATCTATGTAGCAATATATTATCACCTACAGTAGTTGCTGCCTACATGAGAAGTTTATGTCTCCCAGACGATTCGATACATGTTTTAAGTACGAACAGTTTCTAAAACCAGTCAGCTATTGAAAAATAAGTTGATGATACAAGGATATTAAACAAGAGGCCCATGGGCCACATCGCTCACCTGAGCACATTGGCTAGGCAAAAGCACAATCAGTTCAGTATTTAAAAGACCGGGGGGGGGGGGCTTGAATTTTAAACTACCTGATGATGCTTCCATGTCAATATAACAAATGGCTTTGTTGTACTTGAGAAGATTTTTAAAAAAAAAATTCCCATATATTCCTTTGTAAAAATTTGATCCCTCATTGTGGCTCCTCCCTATCCCAGGGGTCATCATTTGAACAAACTTGAATCTACACTACCTGAGGATGCTTCCATATCAATATGACTGAACATAGCTTTTCTGTTCTTGAGAAGAAATATTTTTTCTATATGTTCTTATGTAAAACTTTCCATCCCCCATTGGGCCCCATCCTACCTGGGGGTCATCATTTGAACAAAATTGAATCTATACTACCTGAGGATGCTTCCATATCAATATGACTAAACATAGCTTTTCTGTTCTTCAGAAGAAGATTTTTTCCTATATATTTCTATGTAAAACTTTGATCCTCCATTGTGGCCCCACCCTACCCCCGGGGGTCATGATTTGAACAAACTTGAATCTACACTACCTCAGGATGCTTCCATATAAATATGACTCATCATGGCTTTGCTGTTCTTGAGAAGAAGATTTTTAAAGATTTTTCCTATATATTTCTATGTAAAACTTTGATCCTCCATTGTGGCCCCACCCTACCCCCGGGGGTCATGATTTGAACAAACTTGAATCTACACTACCTCAGGATGCTTCCATATAAATATGACTCATCATGGCTTTGCTGTTCTTGAGAAGAAGATTTTTAAAGTTTTTTCCTATATATTTCTATGTAAAACTTTCATCCTCCATTGCGGCCCCGCCCTACCCCCGGGGGTCATGATTTGAGCAAACTTGAATCTACACTACCTCAGGATGCTTCCATATAAATATGACCAATCATGGCTTTGCTGTTCTTGAGAAGAAGATTTTTAAAGATTTTTCCTATATATTTCTATGTAGAACTTTGATCCTCCATTGCAGCCACGCCCTACCCCCGGGGGTCATGATTTGAACAAATTTGAATCTATACTACCTGGTGATGCTTCCATATAAATATGACTCATCATGGCTTTGCTGTTCTTGAGAAGAAGATTTTTAAAGATTTTTCCTATATATTTCTATGTAAAACTTTGTTCCTCCATTGTGGCCCCACCCTACCCCCGGGGGTCATGATTTGAACAAACTTGAATCTACACTACCTCAGGATGCTTCCATATAAATATGACTCATCATGGCTTTGCTGTTCTTGAGAAGAAGATTTTTAAAGATTTTTCCAATATATTTCTATGTAAAACTTTGATCCTCCATTGCAGCCCTGCCCTACCCCCGGGGGTCATGATTTGAACAAACTTGAATGTACACTACCTAAGGATGCTTCCACATGAGTTTCATCTTTCCTGGCCCTATGGTTCTTGAGAAGAAGATTTTTAAATGATGCCATTATTTTTTCACTAATTCCTAATTATCTCCCCTTGAAAGAGGGCGTGGCCCTTCATTTGAACAAACTTGAATCCCCTTTACCCAAGGATACTTTGTGGCAAGTTTGGTTGAAATTGGCCCAGTAGTTCTTGAGAAGAAGTCGAAAATGTGAAAAGTTTACAGACAGACAGACGGACGGACAGACAGACGGACGCCGGACAAAATGTGATCAGAAAAGCTCACTTGAGCTTTCAGCTCAGGTGAGCTAAAACCGTGTTTAAAGTAAAAGTTTGCCAATTCTATGGTCGATACAATGCCCTTGGTTGTAAATACAACATGCCGTTAAGTCGAATGTTGACTGATATATATCATACAAATTTTGAGGCCATAATTTTCACACTGAAATGCCTTCCGTTTACAAGGTCATGACAAGGAGCACAAGGCAGGTGTGACCGATTGACAGGGAATGCTTACTCCTCATGGCATCTGATCCCACCTCTGATGTTTTTAGAGCTCCTTGTTTGCTCTGCTCCCCCAGTTTGTATTGTTTCAAGGGACTTTTGAGGTTGATAACTTTTCGTTATCTTCATATTTCATCTGGAACTTGCTGTTCTTTAAAGAAAGGTATTTAAGAGAATTTTTCTATGAGCTTGACTCATACACATTCAATCTAAAGTTCACGGATTTACATATTATATTCAATTTGACTATGTATAAGATGTTGATTTTAACAACGTTCAAATTATTTCTAAAACGAGGCGGCAACCTTTTGACAAACACGTTGAGGAAACACATTTACTTCAATTTAAAGTTTTTTTTTTCTTTTTTAGCTTCAGAAATCATGAATTGAACTGACAATTTTTGATTTTCAATATTTTTGAAAGTTTGTATACAAATCTGACAAACTGAATCTAGAATGCTCTTGGGAAGAAGGATTACCAAAATATTTGTATATAGAACTTTGACGCCTGTTGTAATTCAAAGAAGAAGTTGTTAAAATTTAAACAAACTAGTATCTATATTCGGAAGATTTCACACCAGTTGTATTTTATTATTATTTATATTTGCGGACCAGTGTTTTAGTAAGATTAATCTTTGACTTTTTATCTTAATGTGGAAAAGCAAGAAGTCCTTTACTAGTTCAAACTTAAATTCTCTTTGCCCAAGCATGCGTTGTCGTAAACTTGGCTGAAATTACGTCAGTGCAATTTGTAAATGCTATGGTCATTATAATGATCTTGTTAGCAAGTATAACCTACCATTGGGTCGTATTTTGACTGACATATTTCATAACAATCGTAAGGCCTTTGTTTTTATACTTAATTGACTAGAGATTACTCCGTCTACCTGATCAGAACATAGGGCTCAGTGTGACCGGCCGACAGGGGATACTTACTCCCCCTAGGCACCTCATCCCACCTCCAGAATTTCCAGTTATCTTTGATTTAAGTCCTATTTGCAGATTTGTATTGTTTGTAGTTTTTTTTTATTGAGATCGATTAACGTTCGATAACTTCACCTTTTCATTGAATCAAACTTGAAATTGAAGTAAATGTGTTAGGTTGCTAAACAAAGTACATTTGATTAGGAATTCGTAAGCGAAACATATATGTGAACATGGATTTGTGATAGAATGAGGTTGTAATATAAGTGACATGCTACAACATATTGTCTGGATTATCAACACTCCATAGAAAAATCGGGTGAAGGGAAATCTGTGAGAAAGTACATATGTAAAACATATCCCATCGCATGCAGTGAGATGTTTTGCAATAAAATATGTGTGCAGTTATATATGTAGAATATTAAGGGCATAAAGTAAAGCATAGTACTCACGAACAGTGTAATGTCCTTCAAAACTGATTGAAGATTTCCCGGTTAGTGATACATGTACCTGGACATCCCCAGCAGTGTTGAACTTAGGTGTGATGCAGAAAAAGCTATATCTGGACTTCTTCTCACATGTTAATGTCCCTCTTACTCCCTTAAATTTGACCTTGAATACGTCGTACTGGTCAATGCAAGGTCCGCTAAATGTGATATGCTGCCCTCCGAACATAGGGCCACCTTTTGGTGAAATTATGATTCTGCCTGAATATGGAATAAATGGAAGATT